CGTGATAGAAAAATACTTTTGACAATTATTCAAAGAGAAGTTGTACCAAGAACAACATTTCACAATGACCAATGGAGGGCATTCGTCACATTAAATGAACACGAGTTTACACATAGAATAGTGAATCATAGGCAACATTTCATTCGTCCAAATACAGGAGCAAATATACTCAATCTATCAAAGTTCTTTGTCGAATCGTGAAAAAATGTTACAATATAAAAGTAAATGGAGCTTTACCTCTACTCGAGAGGTAGTTGAAAGAAGAGTAGCTGCTATCACACTATTCATCCAACAATATGGCATTTGACGATTTGCTTTTAGACTTGACGCAAGCATTTTTAATTTAAAGGAAAATTAATAATAATATATTAGTTCATTAATAACACTAGTGAATAGTGATTATAAAAATAAATATAAATATAATGGTATAATATGTTTAAACAATAATTCAATACTATTTTCGGATAAATTGCATATGAAATCACAATTAAAAAAATCTTCCTAAAGAGATATTAAACCGACCGTTTTTTTAAAGAGCTTAGGAGCTTGATTCAATGTTCTAAGTTCATGTATGTATTTATGTATGTGTGTGTATACGTGTGTGTGTGTGTGTATGTGTTATGTAAATGAGTGCATGATTATTATTGATGATACACTAATATATAATCATTAATATTTATAAATATGTTATCTAAAGGAAATAGCTGTATGCCTTCGAACGCATACCTATGTAAATTGTACCTATCAACAAGTAATAATTTTCCCTTAAGACCGTGTGTTTCTTGTTCATTATACTAATAAAATAATAGTTATGTTATGAGAAATCTAAAAACATATTTAACATCCTAATAGAGGTTAAATATGAGTTATCTTAAGATTGACTATCCAAATATTTTAATTATTTTTTTCAATAAAATTCTTTAAAATTATAGTTGAAATTTAAAGGGATGGTGAGATATAAAATTCAAATATGTATTTGAAAGTATATCGATTTATATTTGCAAAGAATTCAAGTATGTCTTCGGGTTTTTTATCACCACTATCAATAAAGCTAATATTATGTACAATAGCATAGTATTCTTTAGGCGAGGAAGCAGAAAAATACAAAGAAAACAAGCTGGTTATGATCAGATTACATTTAGTTTCTAACTAAATTGTATTCAGACCAATAAGGCTTTTTATGTCCGAAAATAAAATTGTATAAGTGTTTTTTTCGAGTAATTGAACATTGAAAACCTTAAAAAATATATTTTTTTAATGTTGATACAACAAAAATTATTTATGTATTTTTTTTATTTATAAAGTTATAAAGTGTGTACTATATTTAAATAAGAACATCATACCCGCCTGTGTTGTTTCGTCTAACAAACTTTCGACACAACAATTTTGAATATAACAAAATTAATTTTGTGTTGTTAGATTTAATATTAGAGCGAATATTGACCAATTATAAAACTAAAAGGTAAGAATAGCGCCTGTTTTTGAATGTCGGTTAAGCAAGTTATGAGTACGTTAAATATTAACATTTAAAAATACTCATAATTTGATTAAAAAATAAAATATTATAAAAACAAACACACAAACACTGCAGATAAATGTTTTTACCTTTAAGAATAGCTCTAATATTGAAGCTCACAAAACAAAATTGGTTGGTTATGTTTTATGCAGTTTTTGTATGTTTCATGTTGGACAGAGAGAAATAAATAATGTGTTGGCATACTCTTAAAGTACAATTAAAGTTTCTTACGAAGTCATATAAATTTAATATAAATTATATTATTTTTAACATGTTAAAATAGATCATGGTTACAGTATAAACTACACAAATTTAAATGGTAACAATACTACAGCAATAATTAATTGCAGCAAGTAATGATAAAATAAGAATAAAATAGTTATACTTAGTATTCCCTTGATAAATGACAATTTTTTTATTTAGACGAGCTTAGTAGAGTTTTAAGGGCTCTAAGTCCTCGATAACAATATAGTTTGTACACATTCCTATGAAAATGCGTTCAAATATCAAATGCGTGAAAAGCTTACGATTTAAAAGTAAAATAAAAAAGCTTTAATTTTAAAAGTAGTGCTCTAGATATAATATAAATTGTGTGTATCCATCTACCACTCTTTCTCTGATACCATTGGATAAGTGTATTTTCATAAAAAAAAAAAAACTATTGGTTTAATTATATGAATTTTAAAATTAAACATGAATTATATAGTTGAAAATATCCAAAATTTCATCAATAACTACATACATTTTTCGCTAAGCAAAATTAGTTTCACTAAAAAATAATAACCTAATATGTAATATTTAAAAATAAATAACATTGAAAAAACATAATCATAGATAAATTATTATTGTTATTTATCATTCTTATTTTGTATTATTTACACCAAATTACTAAAAAAATATACTTTTAATGTTACAATGAATGAATATAAATAACATATGAAAACTATAGTAAAAAAAATAATAAAAACAATAAAAAAAAATTGTATTCAATGATCAAATATTGCATGGAATACCTATGCGTTTCTTAATTTTTGTCATAAATTTGAGTCTACAAACAATCGTTTAACGCAGTTCTTATAGTTGTTTTTCTCGCGTGATTATTGCCCGGTGGCTGGTACTAAGCACGTCCTACTGTTTTAATAATAATTGTGATCCTCTCAAATGTTGACATATTTTTATTTTATTTTATTTTAATTAAAGTAACACGATAACTACCAGATCGATATAATATTTATTCTACATTTCATGTATTTTCAATTCGAGTATCGCACTCAATGAAACCCGACCACTTTCGCCGAGACTGAAAAGACCTTGTCATTATGTTATGTTATGTTGTGCTTTACACGATGATTTCTTATCAGTTATTCAGTACTGTATTGAATAGTCGTGTAATTCACATAACGATCGTACCATATAACATACACCGCGTAATGGAATGTCTGAAATTCAAACACGCAAGCTACTTTGGAATAGAACAAAAACGATAGAAACCACGCTAAAGAGGTAAACTTTTTCTGTAAAAATATGCTCCCATTCCTTGGGTAAAATATTGTGTACACCTCAAAAGTCATAATTCAAAACAGATATTTAAACTATTCAAAGGACGTAAAAAAATTAGTATTGTACTCGATTTACTATGTTTATGTTTAATACTCTCTATACAGTCCTATAGACAGTTGAATTTCAACTGTAGCATAAAGCAAAAGCATGAACAACGAATGCGCAACGGAATTAATCGCGTTATGGTATTATACACGGTAAAATGTTCGAAATGTTTGTAATTATTACGGTCTGAGTGCAGTTTAAACTGTGCTTATGATATTTACGGTAAACCAAATAACATCGCTTTGATTGTTTTATTTTTATTATTATTTTTTATTTATTTATTTATTTTTTTTTTTTTTTTTTATTTAACGCACGACGATCGTTTATTCGGCTACAGTGTAAACATAATAAGTAGATGTTTGATGATAATGTGCAGCCATATTATCGCCGCCCGTGTTTAGGCGAGCGCAAAACGAGGCAAATACTTACCGCTGTTTTATACACCCCTTGTTTTTATTTTCAAATATTTTCAATTTGTATAAAATAATATAATATAGGTACTTCTGTAAAATATCACTGCAGTAATAAGCGCGCGGCACGTTACCCGCGCGACGTTATGTTCTGTTGAACGTTCGAAAACCGCTGTAGCATATAATGCGTGTAGCGTTTATTAAATAAAACACTTGGGCTGTCATCTAATAATAATTATTTCAGCAGTGTTCGAAATCATTTCGTCCGTGATCCGCCACTAAAGCGTCCGAAACAATAAGCCAACACTCAGCTCTGTATGACGACCGTATATGCATTGTGCACGCGATATTTATACCCTAACACTCAAAGGATTTAACGAATAATAATCCGAACACGATGTTAAGTTAGTGCGGCGTACATAAACAAAGCTACTGTATTTGTGTTACACGAGTAACATCATAGGCGTATGTAATACGATTCAAATCACAGTGGAAATATAAATTCCTGCACATCGCGCATGAATATTGTTATTCCATTTCGAAATTATTGAAGTATTCTGTCCGACCGTGGAGTTAATGTAATTGATTATAATGATTAATACGCTGTCGGCTAACCCGCCGACGACACGTGTCTAGTGATTATTTTTTTACAAGTTAATTCGTATTTTAAGTTATTTTTAATTTTATTTTTCGATACTACCATCTACGCGGCCGTTTTAATTTCACATTTTTAATTACCTACGATGTTCCTTCGTATTTTACCCATAAAAATCCAATACAATTTCCTAAAATCAAAATAATACAATTTTTGAAATCATTGATGTATGTTGAATCAAATAATATTATGGAAAAAAAGCAATATTTTAGAATATTTTTTAAAACACTCGTAAAAATTCTCTTTTTTCGTTATTTTCTATTATTTTAATCAATAACTGTAACGTTTCGATAGTGCGATATTTATTTAATGTTTTAAACAGTTAATCATAAAAATTATTAAATCTGACATTTTCAGCAGCATATCGATAAATCTACAAATCTATTAATTTTGATAAATATCTTCTATAAATAGACGATATAGTAATTTGTTAATTTATTTAAATTTGATATTTTTATGATTTTGAATTTTTTTCTAGTCCATGAAAGTGCGTTTTAATTACTATAAGCACTTACTTAATATTTCATTAATCATTAGTATGATAATTCTGCAGCCGTATTTATTGTATTCGTTTTATTCTTAATGTGGAACTAGTAATCAAACTGAACGCATGGGATTACACCATACCAAATTTAAGTTAGGATTGATTTTAAATATTTCAATAATTTAAGTATAAAATGGTCTTGATACCTGCTAGTATATAATAGCATTCATAACTCTGAAATTAGACAATGTGCAAAACTTATCTTTATACCACAATTAGAAACTCAATTTTTAATTTTCATATAATATTATATCAAATTAAACTAATTAATTGATACATTTAATCGCAACACTAATTTATTTAAAAATATCATGGAATAAGTTTGTTTTGAAACAAACAAATATTGCTGCCCATGCATCAAAAGCTAATACTAAACCCAATAAAATTATGCTCTTATTTGAATCCCATCCGACAAGTTGTACTTTCCGCTTCTTTTCTTTCGTTTCCAAATTAATGGCCACCACCCCATTATCGTCTTCATCCAGCTTTGTAATTTGGCTCTCTATTGTAGTGGAAGCAATAGCAGTGACGTTATGTGCCCGTGGCACCGTCTCCTGTTTAAACAAATTAACACATATAAGATACGAAAAAAAAATATTAAAATAAAGTTATATTTCTTAATGGTAAAACCGGGGTTCTTATTTTTTCATAAAACTATATGAAAAATAATATGTGTCATTTAGTTTTACGCTTAAATCTAAAAGCAAATATATTATCATATTCTAAATATATTACTAGTTGATATTGCCATTTTTATTATCATCGTAAGAAGCAAAAGTTTCTATAAATGTACAAAATAAATATATAGAAAAGTTGTGTTCTTTATAAATTATAACATTTTAATATATTATATTTAATTAAAAAGGTATGAACCTATTTAAAAATTTTCGTTTTATTAAAAAATAAAAATTAATAAATAATTAATGAAAACTAAATACAATTAAAAATAAAAGGGAAGAAAAGTAGGTTAACCGTTCAGTGTAACTCGCCATTGAGGAGTTTTTATCTGTTTAGTTTGAATTCAATAATAAATCATTGAACTGCCTGTAAGCCTAAATAAATGAATATATTTATATTTCTAATGAAATAATTTATTTTACTATCATAGGAATACAGTAGATTGCATTAATTTTTTCTAAAAACATTTCACTTAAAATATCAAGTGTATATAAATTATAATAATGTATATTAAAGTATTAACGAATAATATTTTTAAATTGCAACAAAATTACAAAATACATTATTTTTTATCTAAACGTTTATAATTTTGAATTCTAAATTGAAAATTAAAATGTATGTATGTAAAAAAAAAAAAGTATTTATTTATTTTCAGATATTTTAATTACAGTATGAACTACTTACGAAATACTTTGTATTACATTTTTAATCCTCGTCTATAAAAATTAAAAATCTTAAACATTTTTAACTACAATATTATTTAAGAATTTTTTCATTATTGACATTTTTTGACAAATTCTATAGTAACGACTTATGAGGAACTTCAATTAATTCAAAAAGAGTCAAAATAATTTGAAAATTATATTGTGTATAAAAAAAATGCTGGAATTATGTAAAGATTATTATTTTTCCTAAATGTTTTATTGATTTTCCGAATAATTTGAAAACTACTCAGAATTTTTTATTTCAACCATGTTATTCCTTCCTACAAAGTATAAACTAAATTCAATCTGCTATCAAAACCACTCCTTAAATTTAAAATCAAAACATTTTTACTGTCTTATGGGTATGACAGGTAGAAAACAAACAGCACATCACTGTAAAATCAATGTGTTCATCGCTCTGTTCAGAATTAAATAAAACATTTTCAATGATCTAAAGTAAATCAAAATAATATGCTTTAACATATTTTACATTTTTCTTATTCAATAGCACCTAAAATAATTTTAGATATTAAAAACTATTATCATAATTAATTATTTTTAATAATATGTTTGTAGTTAAAAGAAACCTTTCTGAGTGGATGAATAAAGATTATTTTCAGTATTTATACGCTTATACACACGTCATGTTTATCATTCACCTTTTCTGCTTTCTGAGGTCCATCTTCAAATGCATTATTAATGTACCCATCTTGCGTTGTCAATAAAGGTCCATCAGAAGTTATAATCATACTTTTAGAAAGTTGATTTGAATCTACCTCAATCTGTAATATTAATAAAATAGAATTCAACTTTGATTGATCGCAGACCAAAGGCGAGCAACGATAAATATAATTTTTATTTAAATTTTATTAATAAAACAATATTTTTAATGCTAAAATGTATACTTTGTACATTATGACATGACCAGTTTAAAAAAAAAACCATAAAATTGTCATGTTTTATTATTAAGTTATTAAGTGTTAAGTTCGACATATTTTCATAATACGAATATGTTATATGCTATAATGGATTAGTGGGATACACCGTACCATAATAGATATAATATATGATTTTTATAATATTTTTTGACAGAAAATATAATAGTTTTTTCACTTTTATCATATAAGAATTACGTATTTATATCTGATTGTTAAACTACTATGTTTGATATCATCGTCAGTATTATTTTTTACATGGACTCAATCTTGCAATCTATACAGGAATATGGCAATATATTATAACAGTTTGTTATATTTTATCTGCAAACAACTTGCTATGCCCATTTATATTAATTTTTTAATATTAATAATATGGACTTCATCTCATAGGTGACTACTATTATAGGTACTATAAGTAGTAAGTACTCTTAAATTTTAAAACTATAATTTTAGAAATATTGCACAAAAATATATAGTGCTATGCTACAATAACGACATAACAATAAACAGCATTTCGTTTAACGTACTTATGGCCCGTCGGGGGATCTACTGTAATTTTCTTAAGATAAATAGAGATAAAAGTATATTAGTTTCAATTACCTAAAGAGAAGTTTTGTCTGGTTAGGTTAGGTATTAATATAATATCTAATGAATCGAAATCTCAAGTTATACCACAGTCTAAAAGACTATAACTATATATTAATTTCACTGTCAATCATTCAGGTAATTTTGCAAAGTTGCATGAACAAGTAAAAAATATATGGTTTAGTTTCCTTTGACTAAGTTTCATGAACAGTAACTCTTTGATAGAAGTAATTTCTAATTTAATAAGTTGAATTAATTTCCATGATGTGCACTCTTTTTTTTTTAATATAATCCTCATAGGTTTAAAATATATTTTATTTTGTAAAAAAAAAAAAAAAAAGAACAATAAAGATCAAAAAAATTTAATATTATTTATGAATTATAATTTAATATGTATTTCAAACAGATAACTACTAAATTGTATACAGTCCCGGCATTTAGCATTGTTTCTAAATTTTAAAATCGATAAAAATAATGGAATTAAATAAATACGAATATATAAGTAAAATATATGCAACGAGTAAAATGTGATGTATATTAAGACGTAATTAATATATACTTTTTAACAACAAACTAATTAAAATAATAAATAATAGTTTATAAAGTTTATAACAATAGTGCAATTACATTATTCACAAAAGATATTATAATAAATTATTAGATATTACATGGATATTATGGATATTAAACAAAAAAGTATTATAGAAGTAACCAATATCTAAGAAAGAAAATAATAAACAATTTATCCAATATCCCATACACGTTTTACACTTATTATTAGGTAATAAAATAGTAAATAGTGAGCATTAAAATTTTCTAATAATAAAAAATATACTTTTATGACATGTAAACAGTAAATATTAATATTATGTATTAAGTATTAAACATTAACAGTTTCATACGTAGTCTAATAGCAGTTAATATTTACAATCACTATTATTTTGTTAGTAAACGATAAAAATATATATAATGATACAATCATTTGATATTTAAATTTAAAATTAAAATTTTCAACCATAAAAAATGTGCTTGTTAATAATGAATTTGAAATAATTTATTTACATTAACTGTTTACGTATTATATTAATTCTTAAAAACGTTTTGCTATACAACCAACAATACATTATTTTCTAACACTATAACAATAGTTATAAATTATTTATGGATACATCGTATCCATAGATATTGTGTTTCTTTTCAATAAAAATGACGTATGACAAGAGGTAGATACAAGATATCTCAAACAAATTATATTCTTATTATTCACTTATAATACGAATTTATTCAAATACGCAGCAGATAATATAAAATGTATTCAATGTATATAATACATAAAGTATAGGTATAACGTTTGTTTTTTCAGACTTTGAAGTTAAATCAAAAATTTGTGTGGAACATCAATGTTTCGTATAACTATCCCGTTTAGAGTTTATTTGATTTTCTCTAGAATCTGTCAATTTTTTTTTCAAATATTTATATGTATAATGCAACATACTTCGCTATTGCCGTTTAAAAATTGCATAAATCGATAAAAGTAGTACCAATGTTATTAATAGATTAACATAAAAAAAATATTATACTACTATATAGTATAAAATATTCCAGTTAATATATTGGAAATAAATATTAAATAATAAATAATATTGTCTCTAAACAAAATTAATTTATATATATTTTATATCAAATTGATTTTGTATAATATGTTTAAATATCAACATTGCATAGCAATGAATAATATTAAGTTTGAAAAAATAACTGTTTAATTAATTGTAACCATAAGAACATAATTCAAATATTTGACAATAATTTTGTACTGCAAACATAAAGGTAATGTGTTATAAAACGAATTGCATTATGTAAATATATATAAAATTATAGCCTAAATTATTACAGATCGATTATTTTACGTCAGCAGCTTAAACTACATAATCCTTAAATTGAATACGTACTTAAATATATATATAAATATGCAAAAATGTGTATTAATACATTTAATATTATGTATTGAATTAATTAAATGTACTAAAATGCATGATCTATAAAAAAATTATGAAGTATATAGTATAGAGCTAAAAATAAACTTAACTCTGAACAAATCATAACATTTTGATATTTACACTTTTAGCATTGAAATTATTTACAGAGCATGCTGTTATCAGTCTAAAGATAAACAATAAGTAAAATACTTAAAGAATTATTTATCATTGTGTCACATGCAATAATTTTATTCTAGTTGTTGGAAACACTTTAAAAACATTATTAATCATAATTTAAAATATATTACGTAACTCAACAATGAAAAATAATATTACGCGGAATATGAATATTGTTATTACACATGACTATTATTATCATTATTATTATTACTTTAACTGTAATATTGTCATCTATTTGTCTAATTCTCATTTTGTGAATAAATGGGTTCCTACAGGGCGAATCTCAAGCATGCGTTAATTTATTCATTAGGTTTTTCGGAATTTTTAAGTATAAATGCTTAAGGAGTAAGAACCAATGTATTCTCGAATATTTAATAATTTTTTATAATTTATGGCGTGTCCTGTGGTGATAAAAAATTATTTTTTCAAACGATATTTGAAAATTCGGTCTTTTAAATTATTTAATAATCTTAAAAATTAACTGAATTTTAATGAATGCATTATTGGTGGTTAGGAAGAGGTGCTGAACATGTTTGGTGAATTACATTTTATAAATATATAGTTAATAATATAATATACATAATTAAAAAATATAGACAACCAATTTATAAAATTATTTAGATCGTGTTAATTGAACGTATAATTATTATTGTTTTTATACAGGTAGATGCAATTTTAACAATATAAGCTAAACAATTGTATATCAATCTAACGCCAATGGTCAAACTAATATATCAATAAAAACAATCATCAAATTCGGTAAAATTTTCCGATTATAGCGGAAAGTTTAATCAACAAATTGACCATTCAAGTTGTAAGAAGTACTAATAATTAGAATTTTTCTACATAATTACCTATTGAATTTATCGAAATAACGTGTTATAATTGTCTAATTTGGGCATACCTTATTGGAAAATTCTTCTTTTAAGCTGTTTGAATCATTAAATCCTTTATTCACATAACATTCGTCGCTCATAGTGGTTTTTCCTTTATCATCGGCTAATGACGCGCTTTGATCCGACAGTCCATTTTCATGATTTTGATGATCACCATTGAAACGAAGCTCTTTCACATCCTGAAAATTGAAATACCTATTCAATCACTAGAGCTTATATGAAATATCATAAGTGCATAATGCATCAATACAATCTACAGGTGTTTTAAATCCAATATTTTTGATTAAAAGTGTATAATATATATTAAATATAAATCAATTTATATATTATCATAGTATTATTTTAAATATTATTTAAATTGAATAAAAATGATCTTTGAAACGTTCATTAAACCTACAGTTATAGTTATCAATTTTAACTTTAGCTACCTACTAAACTTTCAACTTAAAATACTATGCAATACTTTATGTTTTATTCGACATACTCTAATCTCCAATACGTATGTATAATATATTTTGTGTGAAATATATTAGGTACAATGAGTCACATACTCACATGTATATAGTTCATTAATATATATTTACCATTTTAATTTATTCCTTTAATGTTTAAAATATAAAAAAGTTAATTATTTAAATAGTGAACTTTATGAACGATGATGTGTCTGAAAACTAATCATATTATAACACATATATACCAACTCATTTCATTATTTTCTCTATCTGAATTTATAAGTGGTTTTTTTATCAGAATAAAACGATGAATTCAAGTGCTAAGTTAAAACAAATATTTAAGTGCCTATTTTTTTCATATTAAAAATCATTACATATGCGAGTATTTAATAAGTTATTAACTAATCGATGCACTTAGTCTTATTAATACACGATAAAACGTAATACATTTGTCGGAAAATTGTGTTTATTAGGTTGTTGGCGTCGCTTAGTGATCATTCAATTAGTAATAAATATACATATATATTTATATATATATATATATTTTAATATTATGGTCAAATAATATTCACAATAGTTATTTAATTTCAACTAGTTTATATCAAAACAAATATAGATATAATATAAAGAAAATAAATTAGTGAGCAAAAAACTATTCGAGTATAAATCCCCGTGGTTCTTTAACACGAAAAAAAATTATGAAGAACATTAGATAATATAATTATGAACGGATTATACTGATTATAGTTTAATTATGAAAGAAAAATATTTAATATTTATATTTAAAACTATCTCATAGTAAAATTAATTAATTTTTAACATAACATAAAATCATAATAACGCATAGACGTTAATATCATGATATAAATATAAATGAAAAACTATTTGTAAAAATAAAAATATTTATTGTTTTTTATAGTTATTTAATTATATTATTTGTATAAATAACAACTAAAATTAAAAATGATTTAGTATCATAACATACAACGGTATAAATTTATATGATTTAAAAACCGGCCCATAGTTTTACTTTTTTTTTACAATTGGGTATCAAAATTAAAATTTTATTGGTTATTTTTAAAAAGTTCTACAGTTAAGTACTAAGCCACTAGGGGTGTACTTTTTCGCAAGCGTCATGGCGTATTGGTGTACGATACACTAGACGATAACATTAAAAACCCAGTTTTTTTTAGATTTCTTGACCATAAAACCATATAAATAATAATATTTATAATTTAGAATCATTGCTAATTTTTATAGTAAATAGGTATTTTGGTTTTATACTAGTAAATTATATAATCATAAGACATTTATCAATACTTTACTAAATAAAATACATTTTTTTATAATTTTCTTAACTACAATGATCATAATTTCTGAAAATATAATTTCACCGAGGCCAATCATCCACAATTTACCGGCCGCAGTAGCCCCAAAGAAAGTCCAGGGGCAGCATCACATCATATGCTACCTCTGCCGTCCCCGTGCGCACGCCTATATGTAATTGTAAGTAATACTCAATTAGCTTTTGTGATGCTCATAATTCAGGCACGATTCAACATTTCTACTCGATAACACGATACAATAATAATCCACAAACGTTTTCTATAGTCTATAAAAAAATATACAATTCGAAAAATTCTACTACCCTGTTAAATGTTACGAATACGCATACATGATACTATATTATATCATAGATTAAAATATATACTAATAGTATATTTAATCTATGATTATATAAACTACACAATGATATATATTACTATGCAATAAAAATTTAACCAACAGTGAATCACAATGGGAAGTAATAAATATGTGATGTTTAAAATCTCTAGATATACTAGATATAACAACAGAATCCATAACTATTGATACGATTTACACGAGGTTATTTATACGTTTCAGATTATTTTTCAAAGAATGTTTAATTCACGCCATTGGACTCAAATCTCGCTCCCGGAAAACTGGTCGGTGATATAGATATACTCGTGGTGCCATCTGTCCTATTTTTATATCGATTTTTTTATCCGCCTGTGGCAAGGCAACAGCTAATTTTTAAAACTACTATACTGATTTTAATGAAAATAATTACTGACAGTAGATTTGCAGAAACTCAGGGAATGTTATAGGGAGTTTTTATACACCTACAGGTTGACTTACATGTGTATTTTTTCTTTAAAATAAGAAGAATACTGTTTATTTCGTCTACGTAATAAATAAATACATCTTTTCATGATTACATAATATAATAAATAATTAATAATGTGGATGATACGGACATGACCTTGACCATAAGCTGAGAAGCATACACTAAAACCAAAATATTAAACAAAGCGCCTTATTTTATAGTAAATTTATTTTTCATTTTTTTTTTCCATAGTCAAAATTTAGTGCCTATACAATTAATAATAGGTACCTATTTGATAAAACAGAAATACATTTATAAATAGACAATTATCATAATATATATTTTAAAAAATGAAAGTGTAAATAATCACTCAACTGCAGTACAATTGGTTTCAAGTGAACCACGTCATTGAGAAGAAATAAGTCAGTGTAATATATGTGTACCAAACATTCGCTACACACTATATATTATTATATATATATACCTATTATAGGTATACAATAAACACACTATCTGATTGACAAATACAAAATATACACACTAAACACTTTTTGAAACTTCCGAATTATTAAATGATACATTAAAATAACACACGGAGTTAGTTTTCGACATTAACCATCAACACGAGCGAACTCAGCTATGCACTTACCTATTAACAACCATCTTCCAAGACAGTAAATTATTATTTTAAGTATAATAATTACTATAGATTTATAAGCCAAAACGTATCTTATTATTGATAAAAACCTCATACACAGTACTCTAACGGAAAACTTATCCATAAAGAATAGAAAACTTTTACTGGATAATTAATATCGTAACAAAGTTCCCCCGACCGCGTTGTATATGGATTAAATTTAAATTCAATGACAAATCATTGAATACGAAAAACGATTCAGACCGATAACAGTCTGTCAGACGTTATTACAAAGTAAATTTTATAATATTTATATTTTGTGTTGCTATTAAAATAATTTATTTTTATATTAATAAAATAGTAGAAGTTGAATTAATATTTACTAAAAACATTTTATTTAAAAATGTCGTTGTGTACATAAAATAATATGATAATATAGATTACAATTTTTAAATACCCACCCATAATATTTTTAAATTACAACAAACCAACTAAAATTATCATTCTTTATTTAAACATTATGATTTCATCTAAACGTGTACAAAAAAAGAATGGTATATTTAAATATTTTTCGGTTTTTTGGTTACAGTTTAACCAAGTTTAACAAGTTAATAATAATAAAATTAATTAAAAATTTTCGTGATGATGTTTTTTTGTCAACATTTTAACTTCAGATAATGATTTTAATTAAAAAGCACGTATGTATTTTTTTAATATTTTTAAATAATTATAATCACGACTTACGAGAAACTTTATATTCAACTTAAAATTAGCTTTTTGCAATCAACAAAAAATTATTTACCAAAATTTATAAACAAAATAAACAAAAATAAATAGAAAACTTTAGATATATAGGTACAAATTGTTTAAAATGAGTCAAAAACTTGGGAAATTGGCCGCGTTTTGGAAATGAAACATAAACATTTCGTGAAAATATCAAGTACCAATCAACAGCTAAGTACTCTAACTTAAATTTTAACAGGATAGGTTCCAAGTGGAACCTATAGTCTGAATAAACTTATAATTTAAGAAATGTATGCACTTATATTAACATAACATTATCGAAAACTACAACTAGTCGGAAGTATCATTGGTTATAAGTACCGTACATTATATATACTCTAAGGAAGTTTTGATAATAATACATAGTGAACATTTCAAAATGTATAGAAATCATCGGTGAATACAACAAAATTTAAAACTACGGAAAACTGATAGTCAAAAAATTAAGAAGACGTTGAACTTGGCCCTCGAGACTTATATGAGGAAGCTACATTACAATGGCAATCGAATAATGGTTGAATAAAGGAAGATGACAAAATGTTAAGAATGAATTCAATCCTGAAAGAACTCTTATTCGTGATGGCGTATGACCTTCATCTATACCTCCAGTGAGAACTGATGGCTAATAAACGGATTTGATGTCAAAAAAAAAAAAAAAAAAAATTAAAAAATACTAGGTACCATCAAAATTCAAGAAATCCTCATCTAAGCCGCTCAACACTCTTTGACCAGTGTAATCGTATCGTCAGATATCTATTAGATGGGTTTATAAGGTACCTACCGATGCGTAGATAGGTATCTTAGCAACAAAATGTTACGAAATTGGACATTGTAGACATTGTCCGGGCATTGTACCGACTACAACGCTCGATTATAAACGTTGACCGTAACATATACATTTTATGCACAATTCTATTGCATATAGTGTCATCGATCAATTCTCGAATACATTACCTGGAGAGAAAATCCAACGAATGAAAAAAGGTAATAGCGTTTTTTCTAGTTGTTATAGGTTCTCCAATATTCGTCCAGGTTTTGATATAAGCTTAAATATTATCCTATGTTTAGGTATGTTATTAGATTGCTTTGGAATGGCACAAGTGTTCAAATGTATACATGTACAAACGTTATACGGTAGAATCGTCTATCTTCCAACATAGGTACTTATTTCAATTTGATATTTCACTAGATGCAGTCCGTTACTTAGGCGATTGTGTTTTGAGAATAGCTCGAAATCAATAAGTTTTATATTATAATTGTAATTTTAATTGAATAATACTTGAATAAAATGATTATTTTGGACACGATGCAAACAGTTTTTATTGTATTCCAGTTGATTAACTTAATGATGGCGGCGACGACGACAGTAACAATAGAATATGGTATGTCGAACAATCAAAATATTGATCTAATATCCAAGGGAATATTATTCGATGTCCGAAAATATCCATTCTTAGTGTACATTAGACTTTTTAAGTCCAGCGGAGTCGTATCGGAATGCTCAGGCTCGTTGATTTCACCACTGTTCGTGTTAACTGCAGCACATTGCACAGACAAAATCGAAGCAAATAATATAGTGGTAAGATACTTCAATTAAATTATAATACAATAAAATAATATAGTACCTTATACAATGATTATTATAGATTTACTTTCTTTTTTTTTTTGTGGTTTTTTTAGGTGTTTCACTACTATAACTTATTTATGAAGTCTCAGCAATACGTTAAAGCCGTTTATCAACATAAATCTTACAAAAAAAATTTAATTTATAATGATATTAGTATAATAAGGGTAAGCACGTAAAATCAGAAATATTATTAAGTCCTGATTATATTATTATGATCGCCAAAAAAAAAAAAAAAAATTCAACTTAATCAATAGGTCTTATTAATATAAACCCAATAGTAATTTTGTTGTTAATATTGCTTTATTATTCAGTAGGTAATAATTTGTTTTTATAATATTCTACTCAAGTTTCTTGCCTATTCCAATCACCCTATAATTTCAAATTTATTTGTATTAAAAATATATTTTTTCGGGGAAATCAAAACTTAGACATAATGCCATGTAGAATAAAAAAAAAAAACTACCACTTTAATATTTTTAGCAATACATTTATGTATTTAAATCAATCTCAAAGCTATTGGAAATGCGTATATATTAATTTGGTTATAAGTTGTAAAAAGTTAATTATAATAAAACTTTAAATATGTATCTACTGTCAAGTAAAATAAACATCATTTTCCCAGAATATAATGTTATGCGGAAAGAATGTTAACTATTACATGGTTTATCATTAAATTGTATTTGAATAGTGTAACAAAAACATTAATATAATATACCTACCTACTAATATTATTTTTGAAATGTAGTTAAAATATCCGTTTAGGAATGTCAACCGTTATTTAAATTTATCTGGTCATCCTGATGAATTTAATGACACAGCGGACTGGAATTGTACAGTTTTTGGATTTGGTATCTCTGAAAGATCTAATAACTATGAAAAATTAGGATATATGACAAACTTAAGTGTGACATACGGTTATAAAAAGTGCTTTTTAGATATTTTAGACTACCAGTTTAGGTTTGGATGTTAGGTTAACTACTTATGATAAAAATGTACATCAATTTTATTATTAAATAGACAATGGCCATGGAATAAAACGTTGTGTTCAAAATCGAATATTCAATGTCCATGTTCTGGTGACAGCGGAGGTCCATTGGTTTGTAACGGAAATCAATATGGAATAACGAGCTTCGTATACACGTTAAATGGAAAATGTAACTGTGGAAATCCTAAACTCCAAGCTGCATTTGTATTTATTCACTTTTACAGAGATTGGATATCAGATATTGTTAATATAAATACAGGAAACCTAATAAAATTGCATAAAAAATTGTTAAATATTTCAGTAATATTGATGGTATCCAATTTTTAATAAAAAATATTCTGTAGAACGGATTATAAATTTATGTTTAATTTTATCGCTAATCATCGTATTTAAATGTTAATTAATAGTACTTACGTTTTAGAATACATATATTTCCTTTGTTTTAATTGGACATTAAAAGTAATAATGCCGCCTAATAGGTACCGTGTAATAGTCTCATATGGCTTCATACTTTGTTAACAAACTTAATTATATTAATTTGTTTATATCACGATTGACGAAAGATTAACGATCAAAATGAGTTTTTGTAAATTTAAAAATAAACAAAAAATAAAATATATTACATTAATCTACGTAGGTACTGTTAGTAGGTAAAAACGCACTTCTGTTGATATTATAGCTACTTATTTGCATATGAATAATACATCTCTTATATTGTGTATATGAGACTTGAGTAAATAAGTAATAATAATGTTGAGCTCCATAATACAAAAAATTTTATTATTAAATAAAATTGACGAAATAAATATTTTTGATGAGTGCAATGATAAAAATTTACGATTGAATAAACTTCATCAACAAATAGAAACAAATCATTCAGAAATGGAAAACAAACCACTCGAGAATTATGAAAAAAAAAAAAAACTAGAATCTCTAAAATATAGAAAATTAATATTTTTAACTTAACCGCAATTTATCAAAAAGCTGCGTACCTACTCCTCATAAAAAATAAGCTTACATCACATTGAAAAACAATTACGTCAAATTAAAGATGCTAATTTTAAAGAATAAAATTATTATGAAGTGGGATTTTCGGCAATGGTTGCTATCAAAATCAAATTACGGAGCAAATTGATATTATTAAACTCGCTGCATTAAGCATTTCAAGGTAAAAAAATTTGAAATGGGTAACAATACAGTTAACTTTGCGATATAGGTCTCGAGTGAGACATGCTTTGTAAATTTCATATAATTATGGAATATTCCAAATCAACGAAAATAAACGTCTCAAAAATCAGATTCTATACTGATATATCACCCTGGTAACATAATATACATGATATTAACACATCTAGACTCAAATAATCAAATAATCAAATAATATTAACTAATGTTAAAGAAAATGCTGCATTATTAAATGTTAAAAGCTATTTTAATATGTCATTATTTATATGATATTATAAGTTATAACTTTTATGGGAGGTAACTAAAAATAAAGCTGTATTTTTTACATATATGATTTTTGTATTTAATTTATGAACATCAAACTTATATTATTATTGTATAAAATAGAATTAAGAACTTTTATTTCTATGAAATATAACTAAGTAAAACAATATAACTATGCAAGTAGTAGTGAGGTCAAAGGTATATGGAAAATATTTAAATGAATTTTGTTCAAATTTACTTGATTAGGGAAAAGCGGCTTTATTTACATAGTACCTACTCTAAAATATTATAAGTATAGACTTGAACTGAGTAAGACCACAACTCAGATTGTGCACTCATTTCTCAATTAGGTTAACTAGATTCTAAATGGATTGCATTAATATGTTCTCTATAACTGATAAGAACAGACATGAAATGGATTAGATAAAATCAGTTAGGTGTTGGACTATCGTTAAATACAATGGTTCATAATATTACAGGAAATTGGATTAATGAATAAATATTATGATGTAATTTCACATTAGTTGATACTAATGGTAAATAAAATAAATTAATTAATAAAATAAATAAAATAAATTAATACTAATAAGGCCGCTTAAACAGTCAAATTCTTAAGTGTTGAAAAAAATTAAGTGATTAAATAGAAAAAGTTGATTTATTCTAAAGCACTTTTACAAACAATCATTGAATATATTAAAAAAGATTTGAACCTATTAAGTAAAAAAATAAATAAATAATGTTGCCATCACATTTAATTCCAAGATTAAAACTTACTTAGATTAATAGATCTGGTTTAGCTAAGGAAAATTTAAAAACTTGGTAAAGTACCCATGGAAAACATTAAAAATAATGAAAATTACTGAATTACTATTGACTAACAATTTAATCAAGCCATTTTTTTTTTTACCTTCCAACAATTCTAGAAAATCATGGCGTGTTAGCTGCTATCAGTCGCGGAATGCAACTGAGAGTAAGTAACGGCCACAACTACTAGCTCCCAGGTGGTCACCCATCCGGGATCATAGTGGTTAAAAACCTTGCCATACATATACGTGTTTGCTATCAACCGTAACAACAATCACAAAAAAACAACCTACCATACCAACCTTATCCCTACCACAGTTCATAACCCCTACAACAGCTAATGGCCCTAGTCACCTGGCTTAAGTTCAACAAAAAAAAAAACCAAAAAGTTCTTCTGCAAAAAATGTATCTGAAAAGTCTGTTTGATTAATTTAATATACTCAGTGGCGTAGTCAGAATTTTTGAATGAAGGGGGAGGGTTAAGATTTAAGTATATATCAAGGATGGTATATAACAACAAAAAAAAAAATCATTTAAAATATATTTACAGAATAATTAAATAAAAATCAATGGGAAAGGGGGGAGAGGTTATAACACTTAAAACCTTCTCTGGATACGCCACTGATATATACTAATACTCTCAAGACTCAGATGCTCCTGTTGAGAGTTTTCTACTGGATCCAATGTAAAGATAGTTGAATGTTAAGTGATAAACTATCTAAACATTAGTTCCTCTAAACAAAACAAAATGTATGCATAGATATAAGATAATATTAATTTATATTATTTAAATAAAACTTATTATAATATTAGTTTTTTATCCATTAACAAGGGTTCATAATTCATATATACTTAGATATATTCTAATAAGAGTAGGGGATATGTTATAAAAACAATTAGAAGATAAAAACTAGATTAAAGTTCTGATTATTTACTTACATATCTAAATTATTATAACGTACAAATAATGAATAATTATAATTATTTTATACTTATAAATAGTACTAATATTTTTTTTCTTAAAAAATTAAATTTTATGCAATATGTAAAATTAATTTAAAGTTAACACAATTTTTAATTAAGCTAAAATAATAAACGTATTAACATAGATTCAATCATATTTTACAAACCTATGAAATTATTTTAGACATAATACAACTAAATTTAATTACGATTATAAAATAAATGTTAGTCTTGATTTCTTCAATATTTAACATTTAAAATATAATATTTGCTTAAATAAATTAAAAAATAATTTTTGATTCTAACTAATGATTAGTTAGAATCACTTTTTTATACTAACAAATCTATTTAATTAACAAAACTCATTGGAACAGAATATTTGATATGATTTATTAAATTTAAATGACAATTGAATGGAATTGTTACCCTTATTGTAAAACTTTCTGATTTTTAATAATAAATAGAGAATTTATTTCTATAATTAAATAAATAGTAAATAAAATTCTCTAGACTGTAGTACTTGAAAATAAATATTACCTAGATAATAATACATAAAAAAAATCTTAAAAATAAAAATAAATTACAAATTATAAAATTAAATTTATAATAATTAATTATTAACTAGTCAATTAATTATATAAATCTTAAGATTAGTTTTGTATATTCTTATTGCATGTAGGATTTTCAAAATGGATTGCAGTCAACATAGAATTTATATTCACCAAATCTTTTTGTTGAGACTTGACTAAATCCTTTTTATTTTCAGATACTTTTTCTTCTTTTAGTGACATCATTTTTGACAGTTCCAGAAGTACTTGGACCAACATTTTCTGTTGTTAATTTCTAAAAATAAAATTAATTAATCAATATATAATAGTTTGTTATGTCTTCAAGTTTTTCACTCACCAACTTATTTGAAGTTAACTTAAAATGATCAATATTTATGTGGCTAATACAATTGTTTGGGTTACCAAAAATTTTGTCACACATTTGGCATTTATATATCTTCAGTTGCTGTTCCTAAATTAAATTCAATGTTAATATTGTTTATAATTTATACACGAGATCAAATTAAATGCTTATTATTAAGAGGATACCACACCTGCACATGTTGTCTCAATCATACAAACATACAATAGTAAATTTTCATTCAATAAAACTAATTTTATGTGTTCAACTAAAATATATTAAGAATAAAATTACCTAAGATAAAACTTTAAGTTAAGAATATTATTTTCATTCTTTTGATGGTTATTAACAATTTTTAATTTTTAAACAAGTTAAGAGTGTGTAAAATATTAATACTTAAAAATACCCATAATTTATTTAAAATTTAAGTATTGTAAAAACCATTAAGAGAACACAGAAAATATTCTAACTTTTAAGTTTTATAACAAGTCAATTCACTGTAATATTTAAGCTAAATACATAAAATTGGTTTTATCATTGATTTTAGAATACACTTAAGTATATTTTAAAATCAATGATTCTACTGATCAAAAATTAGTCATATTCAACGATTGAAGACAGAGACTACACATATGAAGGGGTAGGTGTATAGTATCCTTTTAACCATCCAATATAGTAATAGTAACAGAGTTACATATCATAGAAACAAAACGGAATAAGATATATCTTAAGATATGCCTAACTATAATTTGCTACTGTGTTTATTGCTATTTATTTTTAACAATTTTTCAATTAAATATAAAAATTTAAAGAATAATAATAATTAAACCATGAAAAAATATAAAAATTCACAAAATTAGTTCAGACACCCAATATGACCAGGTTTTTTTCTTCGCACTTTTTTATTATTAATATTTGAACAACCGTGACTAAGATAATTATTAAGACTATCCTCTATTCAAGTTCCATAATTCGATCAAGGAATTTGATTTATTTATAGAATTTTAATTAATTAATAGGTAAATTTTATAAACGTTAACCTATGAATTAAATGTTTAATGTTAAACATCTACAATCAGCATCTATAAATATTAATACATTGATGTTTAATGTTTATGTTGTGTATGTGTGTGTTATTATGTTTTTTAATTTGTTTTTATATTTATGATAAAATTATTTGAATAAAAAATTTTATTTTTTCTAAAATAAATAATAGAAATGAGGAATTTTAAAATAGTTTTAAATAAAAACTATATTAAATACAAACTTGTAAAATTATTATACTTAAAAGAAAAGAAAATATACAACATAACTAGACTCAACATTAAGAAAATATATTTTTTTTCTAATATAAATAATATAAATAAAAAACTTTTAAATAAATGCAACTTTATGTATGAATTTTTGAAATTATATAACTTGGAAAAAGAAAATAATATGAGGTAACTTTTTCAATCATATTATTAAAAAGTTTGGTAAAAAAATAGCAGTAATATATAAAAAAAATTTAGCTGATAGATTGTTAAATATATTTACAAAAGAAAGTAAAACCATGTATAATGCAAATTTTTCAACCAAATGTAATGGTCTTAGTCTTATTTATAATGATTTGAAAATTTTAAACAATGGAAAAATAATACATTTAATAGATTTTGAATACATTTACTTTTATAAATAATATTTATAAAAGTTAAAAACATTTGAACAAATTTAACTACATCCAATTTTTAATGATAATAATATATTGATTTTAGATCTTAAATTGATGGTTTAAAAAGGATTAAATTTAAGATCGAATTTGATTGTAAAATAAAGATTGAAGAAAATGAAATATAAATAAAAAGAGGTAAATATCAGGGTTGGTAATATACGCGTATAAAATGTTTTATATAGTACACATATAATACCCTACGTATAAAATAAAATAATATTTATTAATTAAATTTTGGATAGGTAATAGAATAATAATAAAAGCTATAAAAAACCATTTGGTAAAAATATGGACTATTTGGTCCAGAGAAATATTATCTAGAAATTTTAAATTCAAATTCTATAGGCTATAACCTATAAAACTATAGATACCAACAATAAAGGTTTTTAAGGAACTTTTTATAACAGAGAGTTAAAAATCTTAAAATTAGAAAAAAAATAAAAATTACAATACAAATTGAAACAAATAAATAAAATTTAATCAACCAATTTATGTAGGGATAAGTTATATGTTTAAAATTTATCTAAAATGATAATGTGTGATTTTTTCTATAATGTAATTAAGAAAAAATATGGAAATAGAGCAATATTATATAGTGATACAGATTTGCTAATAGAAATGAAAACTTATACCAGCATATATAAAAAAAATTATAATAGATTATTTTGACACTTCTGATTATCCAAAATACAATATTTATAGATTACCATTGGTTAAAAAAAAGTTTTAGGTAAATTTAAACATGAATTGAATGACAAGATAATGACAGAATTTTTAGGACTAAAATCAATATTAGATTTATGTCAAATCTTAGATAGTAAAAAAGAAATTAAAAAATTTAAGGTATTAAAAAAAGGCTGAGATTTGTAGTATAATACATAACACTAAGTACCCCTCTATAGTCTGGTAGTGTAAGATTAATTCCAAAGATTTTTATGTTTCTATAATCGATTAATCCAATTAATAAAAATTAAATTCCAGAGTTTTAGTAAATATTTTTACGATTATTTTTGTTAATTTTATTGTTTTGTGATTATTTTATTTTATGATAATTTTCACATTTAATTTGTAAAACTTATCTTAACCTCATTTACAATAAATATATTTTTTTCTTAAATCGGATGAATCATTTTGAAATACTCGGTACATTCAAAAATAGTACAAAAAATAAATAAACATAAAAGCCTAAAAATTATTAAATTAATATGTTTTATTTAACTTGTCAGAAGTTGCATGGTGAGCACTGCGCTCATTCGATGAGCATTTTAGCCATTACTGGTTAGTTTTACGACATTTGGGTGCGGGACAATTGGGTGCAAGAACATTTATTCATTAATTCAAATTACAGTAATACTATTATGCAATATCTACTTAAAAATATAAAATCTACACGATTTTTAATAATTATAATTAATATATATATATAAATATTTTAATAAACATAAGTATTTGATTAGATATATTAAAGCTGTTACATTAATTAAAAACTGTAAACACAGTTTTGTCTTACAAAAAATAAAAATAAGATAAAATCATAAAATTATACTTAAACATTTAGACATTATTAATACATTTATTTTATTATTAAAAAATAAAATTTTTAGAATTTTAAAAAGTATTGAAATGTACTCCCAATTGTCATTGTACCTAAGAGTACCACACCCAATTTTCTGCGCCCAAGTGTCGGCATACCTTACTGTCTTAGTTTTATTTTTAAATGTTTAATATTACTCATACCCTTCAACCAATATATTGTATAATATTTCTATAAATAAATCAAACTATTTTATTATCAACAGTTGAAATAACAACCACAATAATTTGCTAGTCCCAGTATAGTGAGCGCAGCTGTATAGTGAATCACGAGAGGAGTCAAAAAAATGACACAGATTAAAAATGTATTTCTGTTTTAAACTACAAGTGTTTTTTTTAATTTTTATTTCCAAAATTTTGGAATCAAACACGCTTAACTATGATACAAATAAGAAAGCACTTTTTGACGGATTAAACATTACAATTCACAATCAAAGATTTTGATCAACACTATTCCATTAAAAATAATTATTTTTTATATAATATTTTATTTTATTTATCAAAAAGCCTTATAGAAGCAATTTATTTTAACAATTACACCATATTTGATTTTATTATGCAGTTAAATATAAAAAATTTATATTTTTATTAGTGTATGTTTAAAATTTATAGCTGACTGAAAAATTTTTGATCCATTCAATAAAAACACACAACTTCAATTCCAGGTCTAACTTATTTATGTTAACAGAAACTATGGTAAGCTCAAACAAAATAAAAATAAATAAGCACTACAAAAATATTTTTTCTTACCTGAGGAGTTAATATTTTAGCTTTATTTTGATTCAAAATGGGATTTTCTTGTTGTACCTTCTTTGAATGAGTAGGCATTTCATTTCTAAAATCAAAGTAATAATATTATCTTAAACATAATATAATAAAATATTAGATGATATAATATACATACTGAACATGTCCAGTGAACTTGGATACATTTGTTCTGTTCAAGAAAGCTAGTTGTTGTTTCATGAGTTTATTTTTTGTTAGTTCAAATCGGTCCTGTTGTTGTACCTGCTCCGGTTCTTGATGTGGCGACATTACTCGCAACCGTTTACCTGGGGGTTGTTGTGTCGGTATTTGATGCTTTGGCAGTTCTTCAGCTGGTATTTTTTTCTTTGAGGATGTTACTTGTAGTGTCTTGTTTTTATCATCCGAAACTGTAATTGGATTTTTAACTTGTTTAATAGGGACATTATGAGGTTCTTTTGATTTTAAAGGATTTGACTCTTTTGGTAATTTGACATCCTTCAAACATTCCTTGTCCTTTTTAACAGCCTAAATTAAAGATAAAAACAATGTATTTCATAACAGCACAAAGAGATTATTCTTAGTACAATAAATACCTCAACATCCTCATCTCTAACGGATATACCATGATTTTTTCTAAAAAATGATAACATTGCATTTTGGATAAGTTTCAGTTCGAAATCTAACTTGTCTACATGGTTCAAAAGACATGTACATTTCTTACATGCATAATCGTTTTTGTTAACAACGATAACAAAATCTTTTCCAAGAATATTAGCAATCAATTGAGGAAGCAAAACACGAGAGTATGGAGTTTTAGTTGCGGTTAATCGAACGAAAATACCGCTCAATTTTTCTTTGCAAAGAAAACAATGACGCATTGTAACTAGAAAAGAAAAAAAGTTATTTTATCGTTTTGTTTCAAGCGACACATAAAACAGTTTACAATTAATGAAGTACCTATAAAAGGCATAAAATATTTAAATATTTAATCCATACCTGATATATGTTTTTATAAATAATATATTCAAAATTATACAACACAGTACGTCTTATTGGCGCACACTAGTAACAATGGCGTACACGAACAATTTGATCGTTGTAAACAACAAAACTACGACGACGTGCACCGGAGGACAAAACTATTCCGTCGAACTGGAAACACAATGATTATAATATATTATCGAACTACGCGAACGATAGAATTGCTGTATGACGGCTAATAGTAATGATCAAGTAGGCGATGCTTGTAGGCACGTGAGGAATACACTCAGCGATGAAGCAGCAATGCCGGGACGAATACGGATGGATATTAGAAAGAACAAGAAGTTTAAAACAAAAAACGTAGTTTACGGACTAAGGCGGGATACACAGAACGACCTGCTGACTGCTGTTCGTAGTGTTTGTACAATGTAGACGAGTGGAAAATGGCGACGACGTGACGCGACGATTGGCCGATTGACGGCGTCCAGACGCCGTTTCTGGTGGATACCAGGATACCGCACGCGTAGTGCGCGTACGGTACCACGCGTGCGGCTGCAACCGTGAACCACATACCGCATCGACTAAGCGGCGGTGAGGTGGCGGTACGTTCAGTGCAGTCCTGGGGAGGTGAGGTGGCGATGCGTTCAGTGCAGGCCTGGGACGGGGCCAATTCTTCCCTTAATGCAGGGACAGCGTCCCGTATTTTGAGACGGTATACTGCAACGAAGCCCGCAGACTGTTCGCGTTGGGCCGGTCATCGACGCGAAAACGTAATCGACCGTTCCGTAACGAAATGTTTTTCTGCCAGATCGCACTGTGAATATAATAATAATTTATAATGTTATAATATTAGGTATTATTAAGGCCAGGATAGTATGGAATTTTGCATTTTATTTTTTAGGATTTACAGGATATAGTTTTCATTTTGAATTTTTTTGCATGTTTTTAATTTGAGATCATTTTTTAGTATTTTAAGGTCATTTTTTCAATTTTACGAGCATTTTTTATACTTAATAGAAATCTGAATAATATTATTATACTATTTATTCCAACTCAATAATTATTAGTTATTAGTTATTACAGTCAAAATCAGTTATTCTTACCATAGATTAAATAAATTTATTAATTTACAATCTTAATTTTATGATAGCTAACATTGATGTGACCAATTCACTAGGTCCGAGGTCACTTAACTTTAGGGTGGGTTTGTAGGGGAGGGCCGGAGCGGAATGTGGGCGTGACAATTGTGTATGAATTTTTTTCGTATGATTACGTATGTTCTACACACCCTAACAATCAAACTCGGTGCAACGTTGCCGTTGCTCACAATAATTGTTAAAATTTTAAGTGGAATTTCATAAACGTTACTATGATCGTTATAATTTATAATCATATTATTAGTTTTAGATTCAATAGTTTTAATATTATCAAAATTATTTAAAATTATGTTGTGATTATTTTTTTTCTTATTTAACATATAGATTTACCCGATTAAATAATAAAATTAATAGAAGCACACAATTCTTAAAACGTCTAAACAGTTAATTTATTATGCTTAATTGAAATATTACTATTGCTATTAATACTAAATACTAAATGTCAAGCAGAACCTACATATTGACCCTGTTACATTCATTTCTAACTCGTCCTAGTTATTATAGCAAGTTACCTAATAGCCCCAATACTATTACATATTATATCAACAGGTTACTTGAGAACTTGTAGATTTCCTACTCTTTTCCATTCACAAAGGAAAAAATTTAATTTTATAATAGTATTAAAGGTCTATCAAAAGTAAACAAAAAAAATGTATAATAATTACTATCATGTTATACTAGTATATGAAATAATATAAAAATTAATTAGGTAGTAGATAATCGCACCAGTAGAGGAGCGTTCAACGAGTAGGCTTGGACGGCTTGGTAGACCCGATACTACCCTTATTTTAAATTCTTAAATATGCGTTTTAACATTTAAAACTAAAAATTTTTATATACTTTTTATTATTAAACACACTGAACAATGAATATGAAATATTAATACATTGGTTTACTGCGAAAGTAACTGTATACGTAAAATTAATCAGTGATCGAGTAGTGCTTCTAGAAAAAATAGGCACCCTGGGTATGATAACAATCAATAGAAAGAAGTAAATCCATGATGAGAATAACCAAAACATATTTACGAACATCTATGATTTCATAAGTTATTGTTGATATCTAACGAAAAGGAGTAATTAAAATGTACAAGATTTAGGTTAAAAAGATTATTAACGAATAATTTGAGCTGAATTATTTGGCAAAATTAAAAATAGAAGAATTTAATTTATAAAATAAATATTTTAACAATTATGAATCTTGAATAAAGGCATTCAATATTTTAAAAAGCTGTCCAAAAGTATTAAATTATATACGTATTATACCATTTTCGCGTATATTATATTATATGGTTTGCTTTACTTGTGGTTCAGGCCTACGTGTAAGGGAATGAGTTGGTATTTAGGAGGATTCAATTTCGAACATTGATTATTTTTTAGTTCTAGGTCATTAACAGCTGTATAATTAAAAGAAAATTTATCACTGCTGGACTTTTGAAATATAATGCAAAATCGAAAATCTATGATTATTAAATAATTTAGTAAACACTTAAGTAAAATCTTTTCATATACTTAAAAAAATAATATAGGTAAATATAATACTATTTTTTTCTATAACCCGTCTATTAATAAACTCTGCGCATTGGTCTATTTTCTTTAGTATACATTCGGTTTTGATTATCGGTAGGCTTAATATTTAAAGCACAATGTATTATATTAATTTATTATTTACATAAATACTATAAATATAAAATTAAAATTTTTTTTTTATAAATTTTATTATTAAATCTATTAAAATAAAAATTTTAAGTACCTATAAATCCGATACTTTATTTAAATATTTTAAACCGTTACACAAATCATATTAAATGTTGGATAAACATCAAGTAATATTAAAAACCTTAATTTCGGTCAATCAAGAACAATATTTCATGATCTTATAACAAGCCCATCATCAGAATCAATAGAAATATCTGAAATCCCAGTTGTATGTGTATGTTTAACATTCTAAAGAAGGGTTTTCAACAAATACTTAAATAGTACACGAATAATGGTAAGAATAAATATACCTACTATGATATTATTAGGAAAGATTCTTGGTTGACCTGTGTAATATATATTTAGATAATGCAGATCTCAAATCGAAAATACTTTTGCAAGTCATTTCAGAAATTATGATAGAAATCGAGTATATTTTAGACTATACAGTTACTCTAGCACAGCTTAAAAAATTTGGGCATCGAATAATCCATACCAATTTTGTTGAAAACCTTTAATTCAATTTAGAGCAATTAAAACAATCACTGGATACTCAAGATATTTGTGTATCCACCAGTAAGTAATAGAAATTAGTGATAATTTTTTAAGTGGTTAAAGAACAAAAAACAAAAAGTAGGTTTTAAATATATTTATTTGCGTTTATTTGTTAATAAATGATATAGGTACATACAAAATGACTTATTATAGTGGCATTCTTATGGGGTGAAGAAAGGATTTAGTTATCACCCTACTGGGCCTTTTAAATTCTGAACAAATTGATGATTTTACAAAGTGTTTTTATTTCTACACCTGTTGAAATACGTAATAAAAACTAGATCTTCAGCCAATTTATGTAATTACATTTTTTTCTTCAAAAAAAAAATCATATGAAACATTTTATTAATAGTTGTTTTTGCAAGTTCTAGGATTAAAAACAATTCGTTGTAGCCATATTAATTTTTATAATCATTTAAGTTAAAACTTAGTAGAAATTTGTCGGAATTGTAAAAATATGCAAATTGTTTTATGATTAGATTTTGTACAGAACGATTAATGCTGAATTTATTTTACAATGACTTGTGTGTAGAAACTTTTTTAAATTAAAAAAAATGATGCAATATTTAACTACAGAGAGAAACATTTTATCTGGTATCAAATTGAATCTAGCTCATATTTTAACTTGAAACTAGAATAAATGGAAAAAATATAAAACAGAAATGTTTTCATTCATTTTTTCCGAAGAATATTATTTTGATTTTTAATAATATTTAAAAAATAAATAACTGTATAGAATTTAAATTTAAAAAATATTTTTGCTCTTTTTTAAGTCATTTCCGATTTTCCATTTAACATTTCAACTATGGTTATATTTAATTGAAGTCGAACGTTTTGTAATATTCAATAAAAGAGCAATACAAATAAAATAATATTGTATGAGGTTTTTCACAAGTTTTTCTGGCAGAAATTAAAAATATCAAAAATATGTAATATCTTTATTGAGCTTTAGTATTTAAAAATGCATTAAATTTTTAACTTTTATACTTATTCAAGATTTTAAAATTTAATTGGTATCAGTTTTTCTCATAAGAATTTTGAAAAAAACTTACCAATTTTATGGTAATTTGAATTTCAACATTTTAAACTTCAAATTCATCAAAATCACTAATTATTTTTTAAAAATTTCTAAGTAGCTAGGTTGTATACAGGTGTTCCAAATTTCATGTGACAGCAGATTTTTTAGCATAATATACTCAAATTAAAAAAATAAACTTTATTCAAATAGATTATTTAGCTCTATTTTTTGACTAATAAAGGTACCTAAATATATTTTTTAATTTAAATAATAAGTAATAATATACCTATTTTCATATTTTGTTAGAATCAATTTAATATTAGATGTATCATTTCTAAATACTGCGAAATGACAACATTGATTCTAAAAACTTATATGATTAAAATTTGTGTTCAACATAAATAATGCTAAATGGTGCATATAAAATCAAATAGATTTTGAAAAAACATTACCTTTTCACAACATAAAGATGTTGTCAATCCAATTTTAAATTATAACTATTAGGACTTAGGCGTTGTTACATTAATTAAAAATTATTGAAGACTAAAGGTTATAGTTAGACTTAAAGATTTCAAAGCTTTAAACACAGACAAATACAAATAAAAATTTAATATACACTTCATACACTAGGACAAAACAACTTTAACTGAATTTATTTAAAAATGTATTTATTATTTGCAATATCAATTTTTCCTTTTCTAACTATTGCTAAATATCAATTTCATTGAATAAAAAAACACCCAATTGGTCAATAGGAGGAATTACATTTGTGGCATGGAGGCATGGGGCACAAAGCGAAATCATATAGAAATCACACAGTTGTCATGTACTCAACATTGGTAAAATACATTACATAATATAATATACTCATAGGAATTTTAATTTTTAAACTACATCTATAATATGACATTTTTTTCTTTTAATAAGTAAAAACCATATAATATGCAAAATATATAGTTGAATATATACATACATATAAAATGTATAGTTTAATATTATTATAATTAATATTATAATGAGTTTTTAATTTAACTATAACAGCATCAAAGTCCCAACCATGACATCAATCATAATTAATAAGTATTTTTAATAAATTAAAAAGCAAATTTAATTTATAATAGGTACCTACAACATGTATATAATTTAATTTGAAACTATTTGAAATATTATGTATAATTTTGATGTTATTGTTGTCATTTAGTAAATTTTAGTTTATTAATATAAGCAAGCCACCAAGATTATCATGTATAGTAAACTAAGTTTAAAAGCAAATTCATTATTTTTTTAAAAGACTAACTAAGTTTTGTCAGAGATGTCTCTAATTAAAATCATTTTTTCATTGTAAAAATACACTAGAAACTATTATTTACTAATTATTGTACAACAGAACAACTATAAAAGTATTTTTAAATTTAAATATATCAATAATTACATAAATATAAAATAACAAATAAGAGGTGATGAAGGTGAGGAAATAATCATGACAATTTGATTTACCTACTAATTTTATCCTAGAGTAATTACTAATCACCTTCCAAAATCAAACCATAAATATGCAACTAAAGACAAACTGATTGCTTAAAAAATATGAATTGTACATTATATTTAATTTCAGTATAATGAAATCTTATATCATATTGAATCTTAAATAGGTAGATATAATTGACGATGAAATAACTAAAAATACAGATGAAACCAAAACGAGTTACTAATGAAGTTAATTGAATATACGTGACACGAATGTACTACCAACAGTACCTACTATCAAGTACCTACTTACCGGTGATTCTATAGGTAAATATTATAATCTATATAACCAATTGTAATTCAGTAGTAAAACAAAACTACGTTAAATATTTAATACCATAGTCACAACTCACAAGTCACAATGTAGTATGCACATAATATTATTCGATTATAAAAATAAATCTCATATATATAAAATATTATATAAGTTGTGAATTTACAATTTATTGCAGATAGATATACTAATAAAGAAACAATATGTTTGTGAGGCTAGGCATCCGAATTCAAGTTTCAATGTAATACAGCAAAATCCGCTTATAACAATCTCAAAGGTATCTAGAAAATCAGATCGTTATATTCAAACTTTGTTGTAGGCACCCAGAAGGCGAGAGACAAAAACAAAATTAATTTATTAAACAAATACATGCAGGTAGGTATTAATTATTAAACATGTACCTACAGGTAACAAACTATCTAGATTATAATATATTTATGAATAAGAAAAGGGACGTATTATACCTATATATAATAATATTATGTTAACCTTATTATATTTACAATCTTTTTGAAAAAAAATCAGTAATAGTCGTATTCAGTCTATAACTAGAACAACACGATTTTTTAATATAATTAGCAATACATTTTAATGCCATAGCCCATAGATATTTTTGGCGTATCACTGTTTAATGAAACAAAATTAGGTACATACGTACTTGATCAATAATTGAAAAATACACGTTTCCAAAATAGACGGTGCTTTTTATATAATAAACAATTTCTTCTGGCTCTTGTCAATTTGTTCGTTTTCATCCTCATTTGCGTTCAAAATATATAATAGACGATTTCTTCATTGTTCGGTATTTACTGATAGTAAAACAACGATGTCTTTTATTAGTTTTATTCGAGAATTCGAAGATAAACCGCGGAAAGCCTAACCACACGGATCGACACCAAAACGGTGACTGAAATAGCAGTGAGAGACAAGTGACAACAGCTGAGGGCTGATACATTAATATAGGTACAAACCTATATAGTAATATACTTATATACGCGTATATTACAGATTAGATAACGAAGTTGGTACCTATCGTACATTCGTACCGGAATCCGACTTGCCTACCTATCGTTATAGACGAGTAAGAAGACAAGTTTTAATTTTAAAATAACATCGTTACTCGTTAGGTATAGCTGTCTGAATTATCGATGTAATCGATTACCGATAACGTAATATCCAACAAAAATGATTGGCCTACGTGCAGAAATTTAAAATCAACCAAATACATGTAGTGCCGCAACGCCCGCAACATCGGGCAGCCGTGGAAATGCCCCGGGAAAACGTCTCTTACACAATGTATGTGGCTCCTAAGTCCTAATTAATATTTAGAAACTTGGAACTTATTTGTACAGGTATTTTGTCATGAATTGTCTAATATTTTAATTAAATATTATATTCTGTATTAAGATGTATAAGGCCGTAACACTAGCACCAGAGTCAACTTTTCTAGGAATATAATATATTAATAATAATATAATGTTACACAAGTCGATCGCATATTAATTTTACCATACCATTATCTGTCGATTGCGTAATAAATAATCGGATACCTAATAATAATTGTTATATTGCATTCTATATACGTATAAATAGTGAATTTACCATTATTGCCTATTGGTCAGTTGAAATAGTTTATTGTGGACAATAGTTTATTACCTATCAGTTTTAACTTGACTATTATTATTATAAAAAAACAATAAATAATTATTCTTTTGATCTTTTTTTTTTGCTCACCAAACATATCTCCTAGACTTTAAACTTAAATGTCGATCACCAGAGACTTGTAATTTCGAATGTAGTTTACTTGTTTTAAAATAATAACAATGTCTGTACTAATAACTCGTATAGCACTTTGCTCTGTAATAGAATAAATCTAACAATGAACAAAAACAATGATAAAACTGATTTTTGTATTATACATGATTGAGAATTGTTTTATCCGGAATATTATTGTTATTTACCCACCTACTACTTTGTAACAAGCGGATTCTACTGTAATTAATTGGATGTATAGGTACTTATAGTATTTAAAAGGATTTGTGAATTTAAATTCAAAATATTTATGACATTCCTGATTTTGATTTTTAATAGAAACTAGTTTAGTAGTGTTTTTGAGCTTTATGAATATGATTAGCATGGTCTTAGAAGAATATAACATAAATAGAAAAATAAATTAATAAACTAATAAAATAAGAATAATTTAAACGAATATAAATATTTGTTCAAGTATTGCCCAAGTCTAAAATGTCTAGATTATACAGAAAATATTTTGAAGTTTTATAAATTAATCTTCAATTGCTTACATAAATGTGATCCTACAATTAAAGTACATTGCGATATAAAAGTTGTATTAGTACCTGAAACTATATTTACATTGCGTTTATATTTTGTGTTATAGTTATGATTCACATTATTCGTCAATATAATATGTTTATGTTTATTGTTTATATAATAGTAATAATACGTTAGTATTCCTAAAACTATACTAAAACTTGCTACTTTAAATCTTGAATCTAGAAATGTCGCTTTTGCAGCTATATTTTCTCTAATATTCCTTAACGCCTATTAGCGATTTCTCTTACAGTTCATTTTATTCAACTTCTTTCATCGTACAGCTAGCTACTAATTGCTATATTTGCTTTAAAATTTAAAGCTTAAAATACCCACGAAGGAAAAAAGAGTGGGATATCTTATTATGAGTGTATAATATAATAATACAATTGGTATACATAATAGTATAATACCATTGACTATTGAGTGATGGTAATGTAACAATATTACAAATACATTTTTTAAATGAGTTATGCGCATTTTTAATTTACTATATTTTATATAAGTACCTACGCAAAACTCGTTAAAAAATTGAACTATCGTAAAACACCCACATACAAACACCGATAATCATCTTACCATCGAGTTTCATTATATGTCAATTCACTATAATGTTTAAACTAACGAAGCTAAATCTAATCTGCTGAACGTAAATTGTCCATGTTACGCACTTGTAACTTGTAAGACTGAAACAATAAATGTCTGTGTAGCGTTCTCTTAATAACACCCACAGTACGGAGATAATCCGATGTGGTTGTGAAATTAACAATATACATTTAATAACTATTTCTGTCGATTTTTATTCGACACGTGGTTGTGCGACGGAATACGCTATAAATGCTCCGCGAAAATACGGCGAAGCGCGTGTCGGAAACATGGGACCTTGGTCGTTTCGGACGATGTTTTGGTCTGAGCACAGTCGCCATTTTTATTTGTGGTGATTTTAAATGGCGTTATATTTATAGCAGATAACACGAGTTAAAATTCGTATAAAATCGATTAATAAATATTGACGTGAACCGGGAAATAAGTAGGTAGTCAGTTGAGCTGAAAACCTAATTTAAGTAAGAAATTTGCATGTGACTTAAAAGTTAATATTAGCGTTAACTAGGCAATTTATCCCATCTTACGGACATATTATTAAGCGACGTCGAAGTTATAGCGATTGGATACGTAATAATAAGCGTAATCTTGCTGTAAAAAAGGTGAGAATGAAAGATCCAAAAGACATTATTGGGTACCTACATCGTACCTACATCCGAATACCCGATGAACGGTGAGAGGATTAAAGAAGATCAGTTTCAAATGACATTGAGAGCTATAATCCCGAAGAACTTTTATAATATTTCAGAATTTCTACGACAATGTTTTATAAGTTGATATTTAGTGAATAAAAAATATAACGAAAAAATATTTAGAAATCCAAAAGTATTTAAAAAGTTTCAATATTTTTCCGTTTTATAAATTTCATTGATCAGATCATAATATTTATTATTCAAATAAATTATACTTATTATGCGTTCCAATTTCTTCGAAAAATCGACTAGTAATCGTTTTGCAGTAAACAAATATTAGTATAAATTAAAATAGACATTTAAAAAGTAAAACTATTACTTTTAGTGATTAAATGTATTTATACATAATATTAAACTTAAACGTCTTAAACTATGTAGGTATTTTAAACTTTAATGTTAGAGAAAATTGATTTATTATTAAACTTAAAGTTGAGAAATCATAATATGTGTTCTTACGTTGACTTTTTTATGATATTTCAATTTTTATGTGAGTTATTACTTAAGACTTTCTAGTATATGAGTATAAAATATTACTATTCAAAAGTTCTCATGTCTAGCTTTATTACTGAAATATCTTAAAATTTAAAAAAGCTTACATGTGAACACAAATAGAGTATGTATGACCGTATCATCTATAACAACGGTCAATGGAAGTAAAATATACGTCGTTATAGCCAGATGTCGTTATAACCAATTTAGTCTAGGTAATTTACGATACTAGTCTTAGCTCAAAAAATTGGAGTACTCAGCGTCTCCATTGGAACGACTAAAAAAAAATCTAATTCGATGGTAATATTTTATACTGTCAATAAATTATCAAAGTCCAAATAAATCTGCAAAGTAAGGCTCCTAATCTTTTTTGGTAATAATTCACGAAAATTCAATTAAAAAATTTTGAAAAATGATTTGGCTTGGCTCCATTTTCCATGATCAAAATTTGTAAAATGATATAATGGTCAGGTTTTAAAGTAGTTAGTGTTGGCTTTTGCTTAAATAAATAGAATAGCTGAACTTATAAACTACAAAGTTACGTACAAACAGCTCACTAATTGTTGAGAAACCTTGAATTTTCTAACTTTTGTAAGTATACCAAGGATTACTTGTATAGATACTTAGTTATTAATTATTAATTTAATAAGTACCTATGATTATAGTGCTTGCACAATTAGATATCCATACATGGCATATTATAGTTATGTATACAGTGAAAGTATTACATAATATGTATTAGTCAAACAATAATATTATCAACGAAATATCCATATAATGAGTCATTTGACGTTTACAATCAATTTATTTTATTTATTACTTACCTTATCGTATATGAACATTATTCGATGAATAACAGTATATTTAGATTCATTTTAAATTTGATAGGACAATTAGTTATATTATCTAATACAATTTTGATATGTAAAAATAAATGCCATTGTCTGTTGTAATGATAGGTAATACGATGTTACCATAATACAGTGGAACCTCGATAACTTGAATCGGTTGGGGGCGAAAAAAAAATTCAAGTTATCGAAAATTCGACTTACAGAGGTTACACATATGATATGTAATAAAGTAGGGGCCAAGACATTCTTTCGAGTTATTGAAAATTCGACTTATAGAAGTTCGAGTTATCGAGGTTCCACTGTACTAAATATGAACTATGCACTCGGATTTTTTTAAAAAATGATATCATATAATACAAATACATAAAATAAAATATTGTTTAATTTCCATTGATAGAATGGTGATGTTTTTACGATCTGCCCCTACACTCCAAAAAAATAAGTGTCTTTAAAATATAAAGATAATGAAGTTTGTCATTAGAACAGCTTATCGGATAAAATAAAAAACAAATATATTATTTATGTATGTTATCATTAGATAAAATAGTTAGCTTATAAAATCAATTGCTTCAATATTACAAAAATTTGCTTGACCAATTAAAGGCTTCAACTGGTATATTGAATCTAATAACATAGGTACTAAATATTTATCTCGAGAGGCGATAAAGGTAAATAGAGTACTTGAAATATAACAGAAATGTTTATGTAAAATTTTAAGTTAAATAATATCATTGTGATCTAAAATATTATTAACATATTTGGTAATTTATAAAAAAAATTAATAAATACTTAATGAAAATTTTTTAATCCTTTACGTTGGTCGTAAATTGAATATACTACCTTACAATGAGTTAGTTTATTTGATTTAATTTAAAGTGATCAGTTAATCTTAAATGTCGTACCATTTATGCAAATAATTATCAATTTTAATATGATTTCTATTTATTGTAGGTTAGATTTTCATCTATTAAATGAAGTAAAACAAATTGATAATCATAAAATGATGATGTAATTGTAATAATTGTGTAGATGAATAAAAAAATTCATTATGTCTAAATAGTGTTCAATACATACATGATTGTAAGTTATGTAAGTGAAAAATACAAAATTATGCTAATCAGCTTATGAAAACAATACATCAATACACTAATATATTAATATATTAATTTGCATTACTTAATTAAGTTACTTATTGATTTTTTTTAAAATGCACAAAGGTTGTTCATCGAACCATCTTAATAGTGTACATAAAACATAACAAATTACAAAAACAAAAAAAAATACATAAAAATAATAGACTTGGTTATGTGAAGGAAATAATAACCTTAAAATAATTATTTCTAATTTATTAAGCACAGACAAAAAAGTGCAAAAAAAATATTTATGTTTCATAGATATGACGTTAATAAGATATTCAGCGTGTAAATTAGATATTAATTATGACTATTTAATAAAAAGAGTAATAACAATGATGCGTGAGAGACTTGAAACATGTAAACATATTATATAATATTAAGTATTACATCAAATGAGATTATGTGTGTTTATGGAGAGCGTCGTCGTGACCTTGGTTTCATATTGTAACAGATTTGTCAAGTTCACATTATTAATGTTACAGGTGACCAATATAAGGTCAATAGCTTAGATTTTAGTATTACATTAAATTATGAGATTATGCAGAGAGTTCAGGGAGAGCATCGTCAGGATCTTCATTAGATGTAGTGTCAGGCGGTCGAGTCCACTTAATTAACGTTTCAGGTGACCGATACAAGAACACTAGTTTAGCGAATAGGTCTTCTTCCAAATCTAATTCACCACTTTCTCTCACCAAATAAATATCCAAGCACAGTTGCAAGATTCTATCTACGTATGGCATGTCATCAAACATAATTTTGGTTGATATACCGGTGAAAAATCCTCGAACAAATGTATGAACGACAATAACAAACGTTGTGTACAATCCAATAATCCTAAAACAAAATTACACAAATGTATTATTGTTTAATTTGACTGATTTTTTTTTTTTTTTTTTTGATAAGTTTATTTATAATTTTATGTATTTATTTAATATTATAAGTAGAATAGAATGAATTTAGGGAGTTAAAAAAATTCTATATTCAAAAATGTTGAAGTATATTAGAACAGTGGTCCTCAAAATGTGGGCAATGGTGTCTGTACAGGGGTTTTGCAGAATTGTACAATTTTATTATGGAGTCTAAAAATTAATTTTAAACTTTAAACGACAGCGACAATGGTGATATAATGGAAACAATAATGATTAGATTAACTTACTAAGATATTTCTTATCTGCAGTACTAAGTTAGTTAGTATATTCCATTAATCGAATGTCAACAAATAAATTATTTCAAATTTATAATACATATATCTTTGATTATAATAAAAGTAATATTTACATTATTACACCTGATTATTTATCCTGGTTTTCATTTATTTTTATTTATTTTTTAAGATTTGTGACGACTTGGAGAAAACGATTTGAGATAAATGTTTGCTAAAGGTGCAGCGAGTAGATAAAGATTGGGAACATCATTCGAGTGTTATTTCATAATTATTTTTTTCTTTAAGTGGTTTTTAATAAAAAGTATAAGAAATATTAACACAATAATTATGAATTATATATTTAAATACAATATTTGTTTACCCTTTTCCACTAATAATGTTCAACGTTTCTGGAAATGCTTTGTCATTAAATGTATATATTGTGAAATTACGCTTGTTACCACCAGGAATACATGAGCTTTTGGGCAAATCATATAAATATCGAGCAGAGCTTTCATGAGGACATTCTTCATACAAGTCCCACCATTTTTCACTGTCATTGTTATTACTGTTACTATTTAAAAACACACTAGCATTCATATATGGCTCGGCTAGAATAAAAAATGAAAAAGATTAATAAAAATAAATCAATTTGATTGACAATTATAAAACTAAATATTACATACTTTCATTACTAATCATTAGCTGTGACACAGCTTTTGCTCCTCCAAATCCAGTGACCTTAATAAACTTGGGTATTAAACCATACAACATGACGCTGTGATTTTTATTAGTAATGAGATTAGCCAGCTCTGCACAAGTTGTTTGATTAATAATAATTTCATGACTATCTTTAACATCTTTTGGTTGCTCTCCATAGGCATTCTTACGATTAATAACCCAATCAGTTTTAACTGTGTAAGAGGCATCTATACAATCATTAATCAAGGATAAAAATTAGAAGTGTTTAAAGCTGTGTTCAAGTAATAAAATAAAATTATTCAAAACATACTCGGTTCACTCAATTGTTGAATCATGCTTTCCAATTCAGGTGGACTAATCGACCATGTATTTGCTGAATGGGTTGTTATGTAAAATACACCAACATCTTCATAATCATAGTTTGATAAGAATGTTTGTGCTGATCTAGACTTTTTGTAAACATTTATCATTGAGTACCAGTCGGATTCATCAAACCTAAAACATATAATATATTAATATTAGAATTAGTGAGTTTACGCATTATAAATGCTTGAAAATTTATATCAATAAGTTTTAAAAAATAATCAAACGTTCACTTAAATGTACAGTAGTCAATAAAATACCTTTAATTATAAAAATAATTATATTATTTAATATATATATATATATATAATTTCCTTAATCTTTTCAACAAAATTTAATTGTATCCTAATATTTTTGATTTCAATCTTGTATGAATAAATTTGTTGATTTATAATATTTTTTGTTAGATTTGTTGGTCAATCGTTATTTTTTATGTCATATTTTCAAACATAAATGTAATCTACATGTTGATTTCATATTATTTTTAATGTTTTTAAAGAAAATTGAAATGCTTTTTAAATGTAAAATAAGTGTACAATTATGCCAAAAATGCATATAATTTTGAACTATGCAATTATAAGCAGTGCTTGATTTGAGGTGACGTGGGGGGGCGGAGTCCTCCTTTTTTAATTTTTTTTTTAGCGTACCCCTTCTATTTGCCCCCACGATAATGTGACGGTTAATTTTGTGTGGAACACTCGTTTATCAAACATCCGATGAGTCCCCCTTCTATTTTTTTTCCAAATCAAGCACTGATTATAAGTAAATTAATATTGTATTAATTGAATTCAGTGATATCGGAGAAAATGTCTGTTAGCTTATTTTTAATATGACTTCAAAATATTGATATTAAAATACATTAATTTATGAGCCCTGATTATTAAATACCTATATTTTATGTGAATAACATTTAATAATATACTAATATAATATGATATATTAATTTTTTAATGTTGAAAATAATACTTACTTCTGAATTGTTCCTTCAATAGTCATGGTGTATATTGGTTGATTAGATCCAAGCTTAACATTTAGATTGATACCTTCAGGCAAATTAGGTTCTCCTACTGTATTACCAAGAGCAAATAGCACTAGTGGAAATGAGATAGCAGTCACTAAACAAATCAAGGTTCCACCTCCAATCAAATATTTTTTAGCTGGTTTAACTTTAATTCCTCTGGGATTTGGGTATTCATTTTCCACACGCCTCGAACACTATAAAAATAAAAGTTAATACTTTGTTTATAATTTTATATTCATACAATCATACTTTTAGTTGGAAAATATGTGCAAAAATGTCCTCCATTTTAAGCCAATCTGGTAATGTCATTGATGTTTCAGTCCATACCCAGTCCATTATTGTTCTCAGTTCAAATACAAATGGGCATAACATGAAACTTAAAACAGTCAAAATAATATATCATATAAACTTAAATATTTAATTATATTAAGAGAACTTACAGTTTGAATAGAATCATGTTAATATAATTGTAATTTTTACATAGAACGTTTCCGAGAATTCTTGTTGGATATCCACTTCTAATTTGATATGCAGACAGTAATAGGTAAAAGCATTTTACCATGTACCAAAGTTGAGGTGGTATTACAGCATTAAATTGTCTGGATAGTAAAATTAAAATGTGAAAAAGTTGATAAACATTGTCATATTAGTTTTACCTTTCTGTAACTCCAGGTAGTATGAAAAACATCCATATATGAGAACCAATTATTAATACAAATTGGAATAGTATTTTTCCCAGGATATACTTTCTTAAATAAAGCAACCGATCAACAGTGATTAATGCAAATTGAAGAGTCAACATGATTAGAAACGGAACAGGTACTTTATTTTCTTCAAAGTATTGAGACACGCCGCCATCACTTTGAGACTATTAATAAAAATACAACTAAATTAGTATATAATTAAAATAAATTTGATTTAACTTTAAATAAAAATTACATACACCAAATGCTGAGAATCCAAAAACAACAACAAATATATTAAAGAAATCACACAAAAACATATAAGTATAAACATCAGCATTGACTCTAGAGCTTGAATCTATTAATTGTTCGAAGAAAGACACTAGAGGACTGCAATGCTTTTTGAGACTAAAAATAAAAATAAACATCATTATAATAAACAAATCTAAACATAAACAATTTTTGTACTGACGATAATGGCATTATTTCTAAGAGATTTTCAGTATCTATTGAGTTTGATTTATCAAATGACTGTTCATATGACTTTTGAATTAATTGTACATCTTTGTTACTGGATTGTAAAAATTCTGGAGCCAACACAACAGTTGTTTGTTCAGTACTTGGATCGTTGTCTACAGATCCTTGGTAGCCCTCAGAACCCATTGAACATCGAGTGTCGATTGTATCAAATAAAGATATTTGGTTAATAGGTGTTCCTTTAAATGACAATGAACTTTTCCAAAGACCCAATGATTTTAACATAGTTCTAAAATAATAATTTAAATTTACTGTAGAATATGTTTGTGGATTATTCTGTAATACATTTTTATATATAACAATAATGTTATTACCGATGGAAGAACAAAACAAGAAGCAAGAATAAATCATATGTGGCATAGTTTGGTTTCTTCTCAATACCAATAATTCTTGGCAAGAAGAATGGCATGTTGTCAGTAACAACTTGTTGATTCCATGGTATCATATCAAATTGGAACATACATTTAATGACAACAATTACCTGATTAAAATATAAAATTATATAATAATATGAAAATATTTTAATTTTTGTATCCAAAATTACTTCAGTATATGCGATAAGAGTGACCCAGAAATTCTTTGTTGGCCTAGGAACAGTGAGCGTACCCCAAAGAAAAACCATCAGTGGCAGTGGCAAACTTAAAATGGTGGCAGATTTAATTTGATGCAAGAATATCATAAAATAACAGACCAAATCAGAGTGAGATATGATTGCAAACCAAAGAGCCAAAACAAGACGCATAAGCTGGGGTTGATTGGAGGCGTTTAATTCTTGTTGTTCTTCTAGTTCTTCTAACTTTTCAGCGCTAAATACAATAAATACAAATCCAATATTAGTACTTTGGATTTGAAGTCCTATTAGTGAAAAACATTTTTAATACTAAAATATATTATAAATAGGGTTTGGATTTAAAGGCAATAAAATTAATAAAAAAGCTTTTAATTTATAAAAAATGCAATTACAAAATGTATTAAAAAATTAATTAGTTTGCACATTGTATATTTTAACTAGTTAATATTAAAAAATAAATTGTAAACCAACAAACTATTTTGAATCTAGTATCTACACATTATGAACATATTTTAATCTATATATACGAAGTATAAGTACTTTTATAAACGTTTAATTAACTGGCAATACCAAATACTCGATAATGTATTTAGCGATATCGATAAATATTGCAGTTAATAATAAATTAAAAATAATTGACTAAAACAATACACCGTCTTCAGAAGATCTTATCGATTTGTACCGTTAAAACGCATGTTGTGTATAAAACTATCAAATTTATTGTAAATTAAACACAAAAAAAGAATTTATAAGTATAGAAGCCAAAAAATGTATTTATAAGTAAAAAAAGGTAAAAAAAATACATCTATTGTCTTAAATATTAAATTTTTACACATTTTTACTCAAAAATTATTTTTTTATTACTATTATTATTATATAAAAAAGGATTTTGCCTTAAAATCCAAACCCTTGTTATAAAATATTTATTTATTGTAATCTATAATAACATTAAAAAAAAATAGTTCATTAATAAAAATGTATATAAAATATATACATAATATATTAATTTTCATAATTTCAAATATGGTAATATACTAATATTATAAATAGTATGCATACTACAGAGTTGTATTATTTACCTTAACGTGACACTTTTACCAACAAATGGCATTGGCTGCCAAATCATTGATGAACCTGTTCTTAGACCAATTCCAAATCCTCGATTTTGCTAAAATACATTTTATATTAAAGAATCAATTATGCAATTATTAATATTAATTTTAGCAATCAAATACTTTTAACGTTTTCTTTTCAACTGCTAGTGTCCGAATAACATATCTATAGTCTCGAGAAATTTTATTTAATTTCCTAGTCAATGTTTTTGTTGAACTATTGACAAAATCCATGAACAAATTAATACTCTCTTTAATTTTTGTACTGAACGATTTTAACTTATCTCCATCTTGAGTATCTAAAATTGTTCAATACATACTATGTATATTTATATTATTACATTGATTTAATTAATAAAATAATATACCTTCTTTTAAATCCTCACTATCACTCCTAAGATAGAAACAAAAATAATTAAATTAATAAAGCTTTTATGAGATTGATAATAATTGTAATATTTAAAAGTAAAATTATTTATTTAAGAACTATGAAAAAAGTGTATTTGATATTAATGTAGAACAATTTTTACTTAAAAATGTAATTGATTGTTATGTTTTAAATATAAAAATAATCAAAAAAATTGAGTGTGGAAACATAATGTATAATATTTTGTAGGTAGGCAGTTATTAAAATGTTATCTCAAAACAATACAACAATTCATAGTTCTAATAAACTCAAAACAATTTTCCCAATACTATTTTATAAAAAATAAAATATCTGTGTTTAATAATTACATGGCTAGTTTACTTGTTTCACCAACAACTGACTTATCCATTATTTCTTTCTTTTTCTAAAAAAAAAAAAAAATTATAGACTGAATAGATTTAAGTAATGAACTCAACTAAATTAATGTTATTGTAATATATTTACTTTATACACAAATTGGTCTGTATCAGTTTTATCCGAGTCTTCGAGTGAATCATCACTTACATCACTTAATTCATTATCTTTTTCTACAATTGAATCTAACTCATCATCAAATTCATCAAACATATAATAATCACCTGAACGAATAGCTGTAAATGATAAAAATAACTTTTAGTATACATATTAAATAATATAGTAAGAAAATAAATAATATACAGTAGAACTATAAAATTAACTTTGAACAAATGAGAATTTATTCAATTTGTAATATAAATTAGATATATCTGCAGTATTGTGAAAATTTAATTTGTTTTTAACTGTTTTGTTTTTAAGTTATCAAAGTTCTACTGTAATATTAATGGATATGTACAAAAATAATAAAATCATGATTAAAAATAAACATAAATATTGTGCATAAAATCGCTAATAATGTTTTTTTCAAAAAAAAAAAAAACACTTCATGCTTTAACTTAATAGTTGTTGATTTATAAATTTATAAAATAAAAAAAAAAAAAATTCTAAAATATATCTTACTGGATTTATAACAAAGAAAAAAAAAAAAAAATTAAGCCATATTTATTTAAAAATAGTAAATTTTATACAGATTTAAGTGATTGTAGTATGTTTCTACCAACATTAGAATTAAAATATATTATAAATTGCATTTGAATAAAAATTAGCTATTTAATTTGCTTAATATTATTGAAAAAATCACTTAAATCTAATTTTAAATATTACGACTAAATTAGTAAAGTATTGTGCTGTGTTAAAAATATTTGAAAATCCATGTGCACAAATTATTTTGAAAACTGAATAAATTTAATTAAATACAATTATTATCAATATTACACAAATATTACCGTGACCATATGTAAACATATTACATTGATACATAATTAATATATACATAAAAGGAATGAAATGTACATAAGCACCTATTTATAAAATTAAATAAAAATGTATGATTATGAAAGTATTTTTTTGGATAATGTAAACATTAACATAAATTTAATACTAATAATAACCTAAGTTTAAAATAAAATTAATAGGAGAAATATAATTTGTAACACATAAAATTGCTATATAAGAACTTAATGTTTGTTAATAATAAATACTTTCAGTATAGCAATATTAAATAGTATTTATGATAAAATGTAAAATTGAGTTTCTTATTTAAATATCCTCCTCACATATGTGTACATAAAATATGTAATAATAAATACACACACTTAATTGATTATCTGAATTTAAACCCAAAGCTAAAAATGTAAATATCTAATAACTATTTAAAATGAAGGTGCATTAATAAAAATTAATATTATGAATACATTTTTTTTTTAAGTGTATATTTTAAAATAAAAGAAGTAATTTATCTTACAAAAGTAAAAACAAATATATTAATACAATTTATTTACAAATAATGTATAAAAGTACCTGTATAAAAAGAATAATTTTGTAACTAATTTTTACTGTTTTGGTTATATTAAATTTAAATACAACGATAAATCATTGTAAGTGAAAAACGATTCTGAGATAGTTTGTCAGAGTGTCAAACTATATTATCATTAAGTATATTTTATAATATGGTTTTTGATTTAACTATAAAAGTCATTTATTTTACCTTTAATATTACAGAAAGTTGATATTGGTTTTTCTGAAAATATTATATTTACTACATTATGAGTATTTAGTTGTTATGATAATACGAGTATCTATTTACACCATTTTCATTCTATGATTATGACAAATTTATTTTTTATAGTTTTTAATTTTCATAAGAACAACTCCCAAAGAATCTTCTATTACATTTTCAATTTTCTTGACTAAGAAACGACAATTTTGCCAATGCAAAAAAAGGAAGGCAATTGGGTACCATTCTGCCATATGCCTATGCATCAAGTGCTGAATAGGTCATCATCATGGGTGTGTTAAATTTAAATTCAATGATATATCATTGAAAATAAAAATTGATTCAGACAGGAGAAGGTCTATCAACCTAAGTATATTTCAATATTTCATGATATATTTTTGATATACATAGCTATTAAAATAATTAATTTTGATTATAGTAATAAGGTAAGTTGATATGGGTTTTTTTTAAAATAATTATTTTATTGTTAAAAATATATATTTATATCATATTATATTAATTTATAAAACTAAACATTTAAAAACATCTTTCTATAAATACTATAAAACAGTATAAAAATAGGTTCATTGTATAAATAGATAAAATCGTAAAATTAATCAAAATGTCATTGCTTATAGTATTCATAATATAATACATGTTAAAGTCTTAAATCTCCATAAATAATTGTTTAGATTTATAATAAATAATTAACATTGTTATTCAACGTTAAAATAAATTATATTGTTCAAATTTGAACTTCTTAAACTGCTTCAAAAAAAATTATGTTTGTACCATTTGTAAATTATTTAATTCCAGTATGAAATATTTTATTATTTTTTCAAATCTTAGTTATTAAAAATTATACTAAGCATTTTAAATAATAATATGAATTTTTGGTGTAAATTAGAAATATCTACTGTTATTATTATTATTATTTTTTTTTTTTTTGAAATGTCAAAAATTGTTTGATTAGAAATAATTTAATACAGGTGAATTACAATATCGAAAAAATTTAAACTTAAAATGATCATAAATAATTAATTTACTTTTTGATAGAATTTTTTTTTTTAATATAGGTTGAAAATGTACAAAGAACCTTCTATTATATTTATAAATCTTAATTTTAAACAGAAAAACTTTTATAAATTTCTTGACAAAAATAATATGTAATTTATGATATTTTAACAAATTTTAATAAAATTTTAAATTTAAATACTCATAAAAAAATACTGTGACTATAAATGTTTGATATTTTAAAATTGGAAATTAACCACTTATAAAGAATCTTATAGTAACACTTCAGTTTTTTCAAAATATATTTTTTATATATTATTTTATATAATATAATAAATAATATAATATAATATAATATAATTTTATTTTATATATTTTTTATTTTATTATTTTTCAATATATATTTTTTTAATTATACAGTAAATACATCTAAAAATTGTTTTTAGGAGTTTTTTAGTTTATCCAAAATTCATCAAGTTTTTTTAAATAAAGTATTTTATTATAATTTTTTTTTAATAATAACATTGATTAAATATACAATAGTTTATTAGTATATATTATATAGTAATCAATGATAATAAAAAAATTGAATACTAACTACTAAGAGTCTATTTGAAGTTTTTAAAAACAAGCAAACTAAATATGTATAATCATGTTTTTATAGTAGTATGTTAAATTTTAAAGATTTTTATTCATTCCACTAAAAATTTATAATACTAATTGACTATGCTTATGAGTTATGACTTAAGTTTAAATTTGTAGGAACTTAAAAAGCTAGCTTAAATAATATGCATTTATATACCTAAAAAACCTTGAAATAGACACTAAATATGCTTTTAAAATTATAAGAAATATGCATAAATGTATTACTTAGTATAGTCATAAACTTTTAAGTTTATAAATCAAAATTAAATTATAAAAATACCTAAAAATTGAACAAATAAAATAAAACAGTTAAATAATGTAAATTATCAAGTAATTTATTCATATATAAGTAGGTAATTAATAGATTTCGAAAAATATTTCCTTTTAATTAAATGTTCGTGCAATAAGTAGTGTGTAATGAATGTATTTATCAAATACTACGTGGAATAAAAAATGATTTTCAATACTTTTATTAAGATTGATATACTTGACGACGTCAACAAGTCAGATGAAAATTATGAATTGATATTAAATAAAATGGTAGAGAATTAGACATCTAATGAAGACACATTTGTAGTGGCTAGTGGTTTAGTGAACAAATTTAGAAAGCTAACTCATGTTAGTGCTGGTTTATGACTTATTAGTGTTAAAGCACATCACATATTCTATCAGTCTGTGAGAGTACATAATAGTTACAAACCATAGATTTCAAATATCAGCTAACAGCACATCTATATTTCATCTGAAGTTGATTTGGTTTATTTTTATTATTATCTCCAGTTGTATACAAATACAATAAGCTGAAATTTGATTTAAAATGAAAATCATCAATAAAAAAAAGCACGGCAAAAATATTTGTATTAAATACCATAATTGTTGTGAATTTCGAGCATAATATGTTTAACACTAGTGGTTCTACTAAAATCCGAGCTGTTTAATGAATTTAATTAAACAGTTATTTTGCTTTCAAATTTAGTTCAATGATAATTAGTATTACATAAATGGTGTTAATGATTAATGACATATATAGTGTGTGTGTGTATTATATCACCGTCAATGATGTAAATTTCTATTTATTGTATGGACGGAAATAAATCCACGTAAACAAATATTATTGGTATTAAAAAAATTATTAAGCTTGAAGGCGGCAACGAAATAAATCTACGGAGATTAGTAGAGTACCTACAGAAACACACAAATAATTAAAAGAGGTCAATGCAACATTTTAATGTTTAATTTATGAAAATCAATGGCATCAATCAGAATTTTTAACTGTAAATAAAAGTCAAGAATGTCTTGGTTAAATAAAATAAAAATATTACTTATTTAACATGGATTTATTAAACACGACCGGTCAATCGTGTGATCGTCTAAAGAAATCAAGCGCGTTGTAAGTAGGTATATTCCTAGGAAATTAAGAATAAAAATTGACGTTTATCATTGACGGTAACACTCTGACTTATCTTAATCTATATACTCTGTAGCATCGTTGTAGATTTATAGTTAATTTTCTACGACAGACGTGAAAACGATTATTTGATCAAATATGAAGTTAGTGAAACTCGTGAACAATACCATAACAACTACACGCTGTCACGGATAACGATATCGCATGACTATCTACCACGTGAAGACATCTTTCCGTGTGTTGCGGGGTCGACTAGTTCTTCCAGGTTGCCCCGGAGACACTCAGCCCCTTTATGTAACCGCGGGGTTGTCTCTTCCGGGCAGTAGTCCCGGATGACTCCGGGGGTCCTGCCCGGGGCGCCGCCTCACCTCGGGCGCCATAATGAGTGACCGCCGCGGCCAGAGCCCGACGGATTATCACCTGAGTCAGACCCCTTCTACTAAGGTGGTACTCCCACAGCCACCACGAGTCCTTCCTCAAGTGTGCCTTTCCCGGTGCGGGCGAGCGCGAGTCCTCGGTGAGTCCACGCGGTCGTGCGCCTCGGGTCCAGCACCCTCGGTGCGTCGAGGCGCTATTAGCAAGCCGACTCGACGGGGCTTACTCCGAGTCCCGTGGTACAAGGTTTGAACCCGGCGTTCAGGCCCTCGCAACTGCCTTGTCCGCAAGCAGGTCGATCGGGGCACCGCTGTGTGTACCGCGACGACCCCTTTATAGCGCGTACGGTTTTTGCTCTTTATCAACAGATTGCCGTTTCTGCCGGTGCCTCTCTCGTATCAAGCCCCGAGCCGGCTGAATACGTGCAACCACGTGAAGACAGTCGAATCAAATCAAAACCGACGACGGCATAAGGTATACGTGTACCTACCTACCCGTACGGGGGCGGCACAGGCGATACGAAAACCTCCCCGTACAAATGTTTAACGGTCGCCCAACATAATAATAAAAAAAAACAAAATAGATATAATATCAAGACATTTCAAAGCCGGAACAATATTTACAGCTAAATATATATATATATATATGTGTGTGTGTGTGTGTGTGTATATACAAAGCGATATGCCGGTCTCGAGAAGGTAAGCGACTCGCATAGGTACCGGACATACGTATCCTGTATAGGTAATATTATATTGGTACGAGAACGATATTGTACTCGTATAATATATATATATAATACAAGTATATATGATATAACGTATGTGGTATGTGGTATAACGTTGTGCAAGCAACACGCATTAGCAGAAAACGGGGGGGGTACACACAAGTATGGTGAGACGTTGCCGAGGCGGACCGCTTGCGCGGGTACCAGGTGCACGGCACGCCCAGCGAGGACTGCCGCCGGTGTTGCGCGACCGTCGGCGGCGGCGAAAACGCGCCCGAATAAATGGCGCTTTCGTCGAACGACAGTGGCCGCCGGTGCGCGGTGCTGCTGAACGACATCCGCTGCGGGTCCAGGTAACCGTCCAGCGACACGGTCAGCACGGTGGACGTGGGCGTCGGCGGTTGCAGGTAGGACAGCGTGGGCGGTTCGTCTTCGAGCGGCGTGTGAAAACTCTGGACGATCGAGCTGCCGGACAGGTCGCGGGCCAGCGGGGCCAACGCGGTTTCCTCGGCTGTTGTTCGCATCGTCGTGATGTGTGCGGAGACGGCGGCGTTTTTTCGTATTTTTTTTTTTTTGTTTTTTGTTTGTTTTTTTCGGTATTATTATTTCCCGCAGGCGCCGACACGCAGCGAAAAAATACACACAACGATTTTATATTATTATTACGGGTTCGTGTAAACGATACCTATGTGTGTGTGTGTGCGTATGTGTGTGTGTGTGCGTATGTGTGTGTGTGTGTGGTAAACATTAATCGAAACAGCTATATTATGATGATAAATTTTCAGAGAGGAGCAAAAAACAAAATAGTAAAACCCATACGGATACTCTGAGACGCACGCGTATCTCGTACGGGTCACAGATATCTGGGGGGGGGGAATTTCCTTAAAAAAAAAAAAAAAGATCAAAAATCAAACGGACGTCGGATAGTAAACCGAAAAAAATTGTCAAATCTATCGTTTTTGTAAAACCTAGTTGTGTGAATAAAAATATGTTTTAATATCATCTATATAATGATATTATTATACTAGACAATTTTTATTTTTTCAAAAAAACAAATTATGAACATAACCTTTTCAGACATCCATCATATCTGGAAAATTAGATTTGTTTTGTTTCTTCCGATTTTAATCGATACACACTAACGCCGTAGTTCTCAATCGGTATGTCGCGACATACTGGTGTGTCACGAAGTAAGTCCAAATGTGTCACGTGAAATACTAATATTAAATGACACAAAGTTTTTTAAATAATTAATGAGCAAAAAAATGTTTATATTGTATCTATAGGCGGCCTGAATTAGTGTGTCGCTATTTTCATGGATCTATATTAGGGTGTCATCATACAAAAAAGATTGAGAACCACTGCACTAACGTATAGTTAGTATTTTTCAGTATTTTTTATAATAATTAAAAAAAAAAAAATTTTTAAAACACAAAAAAAAATACCAAAAATTCCCATGTATACATTAAACTTAATCTCATACTTTTAATTTCTGAAAGATTATTAACTGTCTTGCAGTGTTATTAAGATTATATTCTCAATATGATAAAACTTACAATTTAATACATAACATTAACTTTACCTTCTTAATATATATAATTACCTATTTAGATAGATAAGTTTAAGATGTAAATAAAGTTAATTTGATTTCAGTAAGATAAAAAATACACCAATATACCTTTTTCATGAGATTCCGGTTCCTTAATTCCAAAACCTTGAATTTTCTTTTGAGTAGCTTTGATTCGATCCATTTTTGATTTGATTTTTTCCAGGACCTTTCGTTCTGATTCATGCTGTTCTTGGATTCGTTTTTGTGAAAGCTCTTGAATCAATTCAGCACCCCTAATAATTTTTAAATTTGAATTTAGATTAAAAAAAATTAAATTCTGTAATGCTTCATATGACTAATACTGGTTAAGAATAACTTTTATTATATTATTTATAAAGCATCATTTAAATGTTTCAAAGTTAATTATATAATATATGTATATATTTAATACAAATTATAATTTTTAAATTATTTAATAAATATTCTATGAAAATTGATCATTATTTATATTTTATATAAATAACATACAATACTAAATTGTAATTACCTGGAAGCTAATATAGCCATTGCTTTTGTTTCATCTACAATTCTAAAGAAGTAATGACTGTTAAAAAGACGTCTTTGGAAGATTAAAAATCCAAAACATAAAATATCCCATGCTAAGCCAACATGCTCAATTGGTATCTCGCAATCATCATTGTCTGGAAAAATATTTTTAAATTAATTAATGCATTTTTTTTAAATTTAAATTTTGTACTAATATTTCAAGAAAACTTAAATATATTTTTAAAGAAATAAAAATAAAAATAATTTTAAGTACCTAATGATGTTACAACTGCATGGTTAGTAGAAAACTTTTGTATGCAAGAAATACCAAATAGTTGTATCATCCAACAAGCATTCATTTTCATGTAATTCATAAAAATACAACCAGGTATTTGGAGTATAGCTTTCAAAGTAATAACAGTTATATTGTACAGTATTAACTTATTCCACCTGTTAGAAAATTGTTGCATGGTTAAAATAAGAATGATACAATTATAGTTTTAAAACATAATAAATACATTACCATTTAAGAATAACATTTACTGGTCGAAGATAATAATCATTGCCTTGCCATAAAAATATAAAAGAACCTATTAGGTATCCAAGAGAAAATAGATTAACTCTATTGGTACCAGCCAAAAACACAATGGCTAATGTGAACCAAATAAATCCAATGAGAACAATACGTTTTAATATATCAAGCCATGATCTAATGAAAATATTTATAAATTTATAATTATTTTTAAGTACATAAAATATTGTAAATATGTTTAATGTTCTATTATGCTACTAAAATTACCTTATATGAGATACAAAGTCGGGGACCGGATTTATAAAACTAGGCTTTTCAGCTTCTTCAATAATTGAACGATTTGTTCCTCCTGGGTATTCTACATCTATATGTCTTCTTTCTATTTTGAAGACAATAGATTGACGAGATACAAACAATAATACAATAAAATCACCTTCAAAATACATAATATTTTCTTATTAAATTTTATAATATGTACATTATATTACAAATATTTCAATCTATTAGATAAAATAAGCATAAAACATTAAACTAAGTATTAGAATACTTAAATAATATATTATGATGTAAACAGGTCTTACATAGTAATTTGTATGCATCTGGAGGTGAATCAGGGTCTGGCAAAAACATCCAATCACGGAAATTCTTCATAATTTCATTTTCATCCCATGGCCATTCTATAATAGAAAAAAATATAAATGATAATGTTTAAATAAAAAACATCAATATTAAAAGCAGAGCTTTTTGTAAGGTGTAATAGTTATATTTATAGGAAATTATATAATTTGTTGCAATAATCAGTTTTTTTTTTTTTTTTTGTAAAAAAATTAATGATAGAAAAGTAAACAAGCAATATTAGACTTGGATGTGGAAACCATAAATAATAATCATTCGGTTTATAAAAAATTCAAATTAAACCCAAGAAGTGATCACTAAAAACATTAAAAATTTATTTTTGTTTATGATGTTAGTAATAAATAAAAGGAAAATATTTAATAAATATTTGTTTATAAATTTATAGTAAGAAATAATTTTATTTTGCACAGCAGCAAAATAAATATTTATTACATTAACTCAATTTTTTTTTTAAACGTGGCAATTTAGGCTATTATCTGTAGAAAGGAACAGTAAGTTTTTTTCCGTAAGGTTTGTAAGGATGGAATATGTGTTGTGTATTTGTGTGCACCATAAATTTGTCACTAAGAAATCGGGTGACCACCCATCCGAGAGCTAGCAATGTCAGCTAATGGTTGACCTCAGAACACATTAGTGACTGAGATAAACCACCGTGCCACACCAGGCCACCCACTTAAATTTAATAATAATGTAAAAATTAAAATGTTATTTAAAAATAAAATGTAAAATCACATAATTGCAGATAAATCTAAAATGTATTAATGAAACCAAATGTTTCTATTAAGTATACAATAGTTATTAATTTCAGTTATATTTGATTGACAATACATACATTTTTATAGCCATTATCTAATAAAGTGGTCACAATTGTCTCATTGACATATGATAAATGTAACTGATCCAACCAGACTTCTATTAATAGAAAATTAATATTCAAATAAGAATACAATTTGTGATGTCTAATGTCTTATTCATACCACAATACTTTAAATTGTTTTTATAGAACCATTTACTTAATATTATTATTTATTTTTAATGGGCAAAGTTAGATAATACAGTTAATTTTTATAAAAACAAATTTAATTATAAACTAATAAGCTAAATAAACTATTTAGATTAACATTGAAGGCATTAAAATGTGAGTATATATATATACATTAAATTGTAAAACTATTTCGATAAATTATTTTAATTATTTCTTACGTAAACAAAGATCTGGAGGTAGTCCAATGACAATAGCATATTGCAATGGTATGGTAACAACAACAAAAAACATAAAAACTATCCACACTTTTGCTAAAGTTGCCCTTGATAACATTACAAAAGTCATTAACCATAATGCATAAAGTACAGCATAAAAGTCCATTCTTGTTCCAACAAGCACTGCTACAGCAATAAGAGTTATCTAAAAACAAAATAATATGGAAATATAAAAGGTAATAAATAAAAAAAAAAATAAAGCCTATATAAATAATAAATAACAAATATCATAAATATTGGAATAAAGAAAATTATTAAATATCAAATAATACCTCTACACCGAATCGATAAAATCCAAAATTCAATAAATACTTCAAGCAATGAGGAATATCATGGTCAACATCTTTAAATGTAATACCTGGAAACATTCTTAAAGGTTTTGACAATGGTCTACCTTTTAAATGTCTCTTATATTTTTGCCGAGTTATTACAACCCTATGCAATGTTATGACAAAAACTATAGCTGTAAAAAAAAGTACATAATTATGAGTATCAATATTTGTTCTTTTACAATTTTAGTAGGTTTGAAAAATGTTAATGTTTAAAATACTTAATACTTACATATATATCCTTTAAGTAAATTGAGTAAAGAAACCTTATTTGTAGACTTTTTGAATCCTACCCAATTAGCTGTATTATAATCTTTAGTTTTACTTGGATCATGAAAGTCCTTTAATACAATTTCAACAGTATAAAATTATGAAATTATATTTAATTATATGATAAATACGTACTGGACATGTGACGTTCCATGTACCCTCTCGTATATATTCAATTTGGTAAATCATCTTAGTAAGTAACAATATAGATACATAAACGGATATAATATAGACAATAATTGATTGTATACGACTATTAAATACTAATGAAATAGTCACCAATACAACCAACACAAAATGAACCAAACACACCTAAAAACAGTTGATAAATTAAAACAAATATAATTTTAATTGTTGAGCATTTTAAAATAATACCAATATTATACTGGCTTACCTCATACACAGCTAAAAACATGACACATAACAATATGATTTTTATCATGTGTAATTCAGCATATAACCATGCTAGCTCAATTATATAAGACAAAATTGTTTTAAGCATCTTAAAAAATGAGCGTAATTTAACCTTTGGTAGATCTGATATCAAATAAATAAAGTTATTAATTAAAAGCTTAAAAAAACAAATAAAATAAAAAGTAACAGTAATTACTTTTGAAGACTTTAAAAGATTTTCTCTCGGATATAAAACTTTGACGTGGAGGATTTTTTTGATATTTATTATCTGTAAGTGAAATGCTGGAGTCTGTTGATTCTTTGTCACTGTTTGAAGCAGAAGAATTACCTGATTTGGTTGGCTTAACAATACTAGTACCTCTGTAAAGTTTTTATGTACATAAAAAAATAAATTAAAAAAATTATAATTTGATATTACATTTAAGAGTTTAAATTAAACATACCGGCTCTTAATATCAGATATAGCCAAAAAATCTTTATGGAAATAGTAAAGCTGAACAACAGTAATGATAACAAAAAATGTTGGCGTCAAAAGTCGTACGAACAGTTCACCAGTTTCAAATTTTTCTAAACCTATATCTAATTGTCTACAAAAAAAAAAAAAAAATATTTATAGTTTAAATAATTTATTTTTTATATTCAATGTATTGACTTACAATGTAGGTGGAATTTTTAGATACTTTTCCCAGTAATCTCGAAAATTATCAAACTGATATGTGTATGTCATAACTAATATCAGCATTGAATAAATTATGACTGTAAGCCAAAATCCATACATAATTTTTCTCCATAAAACCCAGGACAACTAATATAAAACAAATTTAATTAGTTTTAATGAAATTAAAAAGAAATTTTTTTTTTAAAAATACAGAGGTGTTCAAAGAGGTTTTTTAATTTTATAAGAGTATTTTAATATGATCCAGTATAAAATTAAAAAATCTTTGTGAGACACTATAAAAAGATGGGTAACATTTTTACTTGAAACGTTAATAAAAATATTAATGCCAGTGCCATATATATTATTCGGAATATTGTCATTCGTTGGCCAGTTATGCCAATTCCAAATAGCACAAATGCCACAACCCATATCCAAAATTTGGTAAGAATTATTTTAGCTTCTTCGCCAAGTCTTTGCATTAATCGACTGCCTTTTGTGCCAGAATCACCTCCCATAGCTAAAACGTAAAAAAATATATAAAATTCAAACATTTACTTAAGCAATTGAACAAAATTAAAAAAAGTTTCATGAATTAATAGAAAAACATAGTATATTTTGATATAACTTATCGATTGTATAAGAATAGTTTTACCTGTTGCTGTTCCCACTGTAACTTGAATCATATTAGCTACGGCGGAATGACTTCTAGCTTCCCTCCTTTCTTGCATATATTGTCTCATTGTTATCCAGAACATTGTTGTAAATAATGTCTATGATTAATAAAAGCCGTTGAATTAGTTTAAATGTAAATTAAGTTTTATTATCAACCAGGTAATATTGACTATAAAAAAAATTAAAAATATATCACCTTTATGATTAAAGGCTTGCAGGGAAAATGAAGAACTTTTGTGAAACCAATTTGTTCTAAATTCCAATCTTGAATGGTTTGAGGTAATTCAGAGTCATTTAGGTTCATTCCGTATAAGAATTGTGATAACAGTAAAAACTCTGCATAGAACACTAAAAATGGTGATGATCTTAACATTGTTTTTCTTTGTTGAGGAACCATCCAAGAAATACTAGCCCATAATAGCAGTACAAATGTTAACCAACTGTGGTAAGTAATACTCCAAGCCTGTTAAATAAATCCACAAATATGCAAATTAATACACAAAATGATTGATAAATATAAATGACCTTACCATCATTACAATATTAGTGCCAATATATGATGTGCGGGTGATAAATTGTGACACAGTACTCAGAACATCCATCAAATAATAAAATATATTTGATTTGTATTCTTCTAATTATGTAAAAAAAAAAAAAAAAATGTGATTAAACAGAGTAAAAATGATTGTTGAATAATTTTAAATTTGAAAGTATATTTACTATCATCATGGTATCCATCTTGTTCAGTATTAGGTTTCTGGATTTCACTTTCCACCATACTACAAGATGGGCTGTCAGTTGTTGTCGGACTAGTAGTATACAAGGGTTTTTGGCCACGAATTAACTATTTTAAATACAATTTTATATTATAATATTTGATAACATATTTTTTTTATATATTAAGTGACTATCACATTATATTATAAGTAATATATAAAAAAATAAATGTGAATTTTTAATGTTAATGTGATATTATGATGTACAGCTGCTTTAAAATGTTAATGCATAGATATTAATACCCTGAATATTCTCAACTGATGAGCTTTAATTTAAATAGAAATGCATTTGAATAAATCATAAAACTATAGACCATATGTTACAAAAATACAATTTTAAAGTTATTAAAATTTGTTATGATTGTATTTTAATTATATAATTTTGTTTTTATCAAACATCAAATTTATAATTATTATTGAAGAAAACATTTTTTTTTTTTTTTTAATAATTTTGAGTGGAGCTTAGTTAAAACATTGCTTTTTTAAATTTATTAATTTTTTCTACATTTATCTATAGTTTTTAAATATTATTTGATATTTGAATTTAGTATAAATAATAATGTACACATGGATAAATAACCTAATCTTAATTTAATTTATTGTGAAAATTACCTATACAACATTTGAAAAACCTTCTCTCCAAAGCACCAATTAAAATTAGTAGAAAGACTTACTATATATGTTTATAGCATTCATTATTCTATGCAAATTTTCATAAAAAAAAAAAAAAAAACAACATTAAGGTAAAAGTAAAACATTAAGTATTGTAAAAAATAAAAACATTTATCACTTAAATTGGAATCTAAAATATGCATTATTATATGTATGTTATATAAGTTTAAAATATAAAAATATATTAATTTAATTCTTTATTTAACTGATATAAATATATTAAACTTAAAATCAGCTTAATATTACTTTAAAATTAAAGTTGCCTTTCCAGGTTAATATTTTTCATTAAAAAGCATGTGATTAAAAATAATAATAAAATTAATATTTAAATTTTGAAGAATAAAAAAAAATATTAAATATGTAATAGTTATATACAATTATTACAACCATTAATTAATACAAATATATTTCTATAAAATCTATACAACTTTTTAAAGTAACAATAAATAAGATAATTTTTTAAAATCTGTTAGATGAATTTGAGGGAAAATGTCTTCAAGATATATTAGAATACACTGTTTTTTCATACTTTATAAGTATTTGAACTATAACACAATATTTTTATTTAGCATGTTAAAATAAATGGGAGATAGTTTGCCTATTCCTTCTAAAGTTCAGATCACAATTCAGCCTGCTTTACATCTATAAATATTATATAATATTTATGTATTTGAGTATTTAATATTAAAAACATAAACATTATTGTGCCAATTATTTATTGCTCATTTTAAATTAAGTAAAATAAAATAGAAAAATATTAAATACACATATACTTTACTAAGATATTTTACAGAAATGTGTATTTAAAATATATTTAAAAAAGGTAAGTATGAGAGTTCAATGTTTAAGTTGTTATGACTGTTAATTGATTACATAGTCCTACGACTACTTTGCTGTTTTAACTTATTGCACTTATATGTATAGATTTTAACGGGCTGAATTCAAATACGCAATTAGTTTTTTTTCTGACACATCTAGTTTTTCTCCAATTTGAATTTTAAATATTGTATTTTCTGTATAGTCATACAATAATATGCGGTTAAAAATATATATCACAAATACTTTGGTATTCATTTAGGAAATCAAAATAAATCATGGGTACCCCATACTGCTTGTTGATCCTGTATTGAAAATTTACGAAATTGGAAACAAAGTTAACGTTTATCAATGCCTTTTGGAGTACCAATAGTTTGGCGAGAACTAAAAAATCATATTGACGATTGCTATTTTTGTATTGTTGATATTTTCAGTTATAATAAAAAAAAAATCAAAGTTAATTTATCCAAATTTACCTTCTGCTTTACGACCTATACCACATGGCCTAGAATTACCAGTACCTGTACCGTCAGAAACTTTCGAAACTATTTCAAACCACAATACTTCTATAGATTCCGATGACAATCTTAGAAATAATGATGAAGACTTTCAACTTGACACCACAGATGCTCCAAAATGTTTTGATCAATTTGAATTAATTGATTTAGTACGTGACTTAATCTTTACTAAAGAGGCAGTTGAAATTTTGGGTTTGAGACTCAAAGAAAAAAAATTTACTTACAAAAGGTACTACTTTTTATTGGTACAGGAATCATGAAATGGAATACAAATAATTTTTTTTAAAAGGAAGGATGACTTGTATTTTTAGTAATATTTCTGGGTTGATTCAATATTTAGGCAAATATGATGTGAATGAATGGAGTTTGTTTATAGTTTCATCTAAAAGAAGTCTAAAAGGTGTTTTATTTCATAACGAAAACCAGTTAGCGTCTATTCCTATTGCATGTATTATTTATATGTAAATGTTATACTATCTTTAAATCGTAATTGTAAAAAAATTAGATGTGATAGAGACAAACAGATTTCAAATTTGAATTTTGCGCATTAAGATCTATAAGGTTCAGGTATTGCTATACAGACAAAAAATAAATAAAATATTTCGCAGGACTGTGATATTAGTCAAACACGTTAAATTGAAATATAAAGTATATAACTTTGAAACATTAAAATTATAATTTAGTTAACTAAGTTTCACTCAAAAGCATTTGTAAAGTAATTGCAGTGAACATAAAATTATTATTTTTGACAATAATAATGTCATAGTTAGTGATTTAAAGTTTGCATATCCATCAGTTTTTATATTAATATTAATATCATTCTTGGGATTGAAAAAAATGTGAAGGAGCTAAAGAAATGGAATATTTTACATATATACACAGGTAAAAACAATACCCATTGATAATAAACAAGTGTTAGTTATTACTGGAGTCATAATTTACATGAAATGTGTGGTGAAAATTAATAATAAATTAAAAATGTTGAGCATATTTTGAATGAATATTTTAATTTTTTTTATACATTTTATCATATTGGATTCTTTTAAGGATATACTTTGATATTTTCTGGACATATTTTCATGAATTTTTTTTAGAGTTTTTAAAGACATACACATTCCAACCTTAATAATAATCATAGTATTTTTAAAAATTATAAATTGCAAGTGCGTTATTTGTTATAGATATACAAACCATAACACAAAAAAATAAGCTAAATGTGTACGTGAGTTTTATAAAGCAACGATATGATTTATACATATTTTTTTAATCAATGTAATAAACTATCCCCAGATTAGTTAACTCTTACTTGAATGATAAGGTACCAAATGTTTTTTCATTATCTATAACATGTTCTTTTACCTCTTTTAGCTGTACATCCTGTTAATTTTATTCAGGTTAAAATAATAGTAATATATAATTAAACAACACAATGCTATTATGTACATACAGGCGTATTTTCCGTCAGTTGAGTATGAGCCGAGAATTGGTCTGTAGAAGCGTGCATCTAAAATATAAATTAATCAGTGCAACATAAATAGTATGCCATATCATTTTAACAGATGCATACAAAACAAAATATATAATTTTATGGAGCTCCAAACAATTTAAAAAACAATCATACAGCAACTAAACACGAAAAAAGCTTTTAACAAACCATAAAGAAAAAGATTATAAATTAATATTTTATATATTATAGGTACCTAACAGATCTATTCGTAACTTTTTTTTAAACTAAATTGTTTTTAAATGTTTCTTTTATATTATAATACAGCTGTCATTTTATTTTATCTTAACTGTACAAAATAATGTATAATAATGTATGTATAATGTATGTGCAGTGCAAATAAAAATAACCTTTTATTTTAAAATAGAGAATTTGTTCAAATTGTGAAACCTAATTAGTAATCATAAAACCAATAATTATATATAACAAAATATTGCTTGAAAACATAAAACATTATACAGTTGGCATATAAAGTGTTATAAACATTAAAACTTGTGAATAAATCAGCAGTGCACTTTTCACACAAAACACATTCGAAATGTGGATAAATAACATTAACATACGCAAACTTTGCGAGTGGCAGCACGCCATCGATTTGTTTTATTTCGAAAGAAATAACTATTGGGACCTTTTTGAGATAAACGAACTGTTACTTGCCGAGTCATTCCTAATGGTTCCTTTGTTTCTAGATCCTGTAATTTATACAAAACTCTCCAAGATAATGTAATTGTATTTTTTTTAATTATACAAAACTTGAACAATATATTTTCTTTCAATAGATCAAAAGTTAAAACCAATAACTATATAAATATTGTAGATATACACCATGTGTAAGTACCTATTTTCAGACCCAACACAAAAATTGTGTTAGAACAAAATAATCTCAATATTTTTAGTTAATAATGGCAATACATTAAAAAAAAACTAAAATTTGAGCTTAATATAGATTCTAAGCTATTTTATTTTTATGAATAACTCCCATACATTGTGTAAATGTTGTAAAAACTGTCAAACATCAACACTACTATGCGCCCATTTCCATTATATGCACGGGATGTTTAAACAAATAGTTACAGTTTGATACCTACATTAATTTATTATACATAGAATCGTATAAGAAACACTGCATAATTTGTATTAAGGTAAAAACATTACCAAAGTATTTTATATTTAAATCTATTGTTTAAGTTTTTAAAATATTCATCTACCAACAATTAAAGAATTATCTACACATTCAACTAAATTATAGTATATAAAGACATGTTCACTATTTTAATAAAATAACACTATAGCCAAACATAAAATAAATATAAAAATAACTGCATAACCGACATAGGCAAATAAAAAAAAGTAAGGGAAAATATTATTCGAGACACAGGAAATTACATATAATATCATACCTTTTAAACATTTTCCTTTGTGAACGCAATCGTTCACATCAAAATGCATTAAAGATGTTAGATCATGAACTGTAAACTAATTTACAAGAGAAAGTTTTAAAGTATTTATAAAATGAATTGATGTGATTTATATGTTAAGAAGATGTTAAGAATACAATTATTATTCTTTTATTTTTTAAAGTCATTTTATACATTTATAGTTTATTATTTATTTTATTTTATTATAGTTAAAAACTATGAGTATTTTAGCTTAAGACAGTAGATACAAGAGACAATAATTAATAGTAATACTATGCTCAAAATTTTTTTATTAAATAAAAATAATTTTAACTTAATCTTAATGTACAGTTTGTAGATTTATCAATTTTAACAAATACATAAAAAATAATTGTAAACCTTTCAAAAAATGTGTTTAACAGACAAAGAATGTTCTTATTGAAAACGAAAGCATAAAGCTAAGAAAAGGTGCCTATCTACTTTTTTTTTAACAAATTCACAAAATTGTCAGATGAATAATTAAAATTGTTGTTTTAATTAATAAATATTAAATATATTTAATAATTTACAAGAGTAAATTAATTATATTTTTATCAATTTTACCACACTTCTCTCAAATACCTTAAAATTATTTTAATATTACATTCAACATAATTAATTATTTTATTGCTAATTAAATTTAGAAATTTAATAAAAACCAAAATATATAAATATTAGTTGTAGTTTAAATAAATATTATATAGTAAATCAAAAATATGTCAAAAGTTTATAAAACAATTGATAACTATAAAAAAATAAATGGGTACATACAAATTATGTCCCTAAAAATAAAAATAAACGTGACAACAACCAAGTTGCGTCCACGGTTTTTTAGCGACTGTTCAAAGTTAAGTTAAGACAACAAAATTTTTTTAAACCTTTAAAATGTTAGTAAAAAATTAAAATGTAAAGATTTCAATGACTTAAATGAAAAGTCATGTAAAATTCTACATCGAAAGTTGTGTGAAAGACAGTAGGTACATTTGTTATCACAGATATAGATCGTATTAGAAAAATATTCATAATGCTCAATTGAGCATAATTTCAAAATTGTCTACAAATTAGGAAGTAATCATTAGGCTGTTAAAAACTAACAAAGACGAAATTATTTTTTATTAGTAAAAAATAAAATAACTTACTATGAAGCAAAAAATATATCATTTCTTGAGTTTATTAACAATTGGTGTAATAAAATCTACCCATTTTATAAAGTTAAAAAAAAATTATATAAATTTTAGAACAATAAATAATGTATATCATATTTTTTAATCATACCATTTATATAAATGATAGTCTTCAGTCAGTAAAAATTGGAATGAAAGTTAGTATGCATTAATATTACTAACCAGTACACAACTCATATATGTAAGAAAATCGCGGACACAACTAGGGCAAAATATTATTAATGGATACAATTCAACTATAAAAACAGATTAAATAATAGTTATAATTTTAATAAGAACTGGTTTGGTTAATAAGTAAACTCCTATTTATATTATATAATCATAAACTTTTTTTCTTTTGCATAAACAGAGCTAAAATTATAGAGAGTAGTCTTATATTATACAATAGTTAAAAAAATATTGTGATAATGAGTTAATAATAAGTTTGACTTGAAATGAATGTTTATGAATTAAATTGAATATTATTTGCTGTTTGGTAAATTAATTATTTTGTAATAGTTATAAATTAGGTAGGTATGTTTTTTTATAACTCATCTAAATTTTAAATAATTAATACTTATAATAAATATATAAACAATTTCTAATAAAAAACATACAATAAAATATACTAATGTAATTTTCAAGAACCCTTTATCAGAGGTGGCAAACCTGTGACCCACATATAAAGATTGCATATTAACCAAATTTTAAAAACACAAGAAAATATTTTTTATAGTCGTATTTGATGAAAACAAATCATTATACTCATACACTCAGTATTTGTATCTACACAAAAATACATTTTTGAGAATCAATGAAATCAATAAAATTAAAATAATAAAATAATACATTTATGGATTAAGCTAATGTTGCTTGTGTTTTAAACTAACGAGATATATACCAATAGTAATAAAAAATATAGTGAATTTTTTTTTCAAACCTTATAACCCCAGGAAAAATTTTTGTAAGAGCATAAAATCTTTATAAAACTAAATGCAAAGTTTTGACACATGACTAGAAAAAAGTTTGCTTCTCTTGATCTATACATAATATTTAATAAAAAATTTGTATAAAAAAAGCATTAAAATAAATATTGGGTATTTATTTGTTTGTAATATTCATTTAGAATGTAAGATAAAAAATATTTTGAATAGCCTAAACGTATGATTATATGATTACATTAAAGCATTAAAATAAATAAAAATAGTTACTTACCGGATTGTTTAATAAAAGAAGAGATTCAAACCATAAGAGATAATGTGTAACAACCAAGATTAAAGGTAGTGCATACTTAGGCCATTCTAAGTCCAAAAATTTGACTATTACAGTACCATTACAAGTTGTTTCTCTGATAGCAATGAGACCATAGTATCTAGACAAAAGTATAATTGAATAAAAAATTATATTATTTTTATTTCAAATAAGTATAAATAAAAAAAAATTTGAATAAGCTTTTAAACTTATTTAAATTACTGTAAAAACAATTTTGTTTCATAATATTTTTAAAAATTCCATTGAGATTATATAATTTTACCACTGCACCTAACATTTAAACTCAAATAAATTTATCTAAAATAAATATAAATAACATGTTTTAATAAAAACATAATAATTATACTGAAGTAGTGTTGAGAAAAATATAAAAGATACATTATGTACATAAAAATCAACATTAATAGTAATTTTTTACAAATGTTAACATTAGTTTTATTTAAAAGATAGTCACTTCTATGCAATGGCAATTTAATTTTACTAACAAATTCTAGTTTTAGATATATACTCAGAACTAATTGTTATAGATAAAATCAAACTTATATTTTACTCAATAAAATAATAGTTTACAATAATTTCATGTTACAAAATATTTTCAAAAAAATTACCTTGCAATTGGCGAATTTGGAGGTAAAAGAATTTGAGCCCACTCCATTTGATATACAAAAAGAATAGATACATGTAAACAAGCAACCAGACAAATAAAACGAAATAAGTAGGCAAATCCACGACTTATAGGATGGTAGCAAGACCACCATGTCATTATTCCCAAAAATGTTATGTAGTAAAATGCACTAATAATTGATGGTACTACAACTCCAGCAAGGCAAATAATCACCAAACAAAGATATTTTCCTATAATTGAACATTAGTTTACCATAGGAATAAAAAAATAATAAACTTAAGACGTCTCAAATAATATACCAATAGAAATAGCAACAGAAATAGAACTTGTCTGTTCCCAGGTAGTTGCTCTTGATTCAGGATCTGTGATTTCCGTAAAAGTATCTGATGCGTCTTCTTCAATATTAATTTTAATTAACATGCGTTGTATAATAGTAGATGCACAAACCATTATCAGTTCTGGTAAGTAGAAGAATAATATATCAATCAGTTGTAGTTTAGATAACTCAATTAAACCAATATAGCGAAACATTCGTTCTATTGCGCCGCCTTAAATAATAATAAATAAATATTATAAAATAATCTAAACATATAATCAATTATAATTATGAGTGAATAATATTAAATATACTCACATGTTGGTTCTAGAATTTTTCCGTATGGATGCATCACAAGCAGAATAATTTGAAATAAAAGCTGAATTAATATCATAAGCCAACTTATCAAAGTTACAGTTTTTAAAAACATTCCAGAACTTCCTAATTAACAGTATAAAATACAATTTTAAATTTTAATAATATATTTTATGATTAAATTAGTTTTAATTAACAACCAACCATTTATATTTTTTGGAGTAGGTGTTTTAATTAGAGGAAGGTAGAGTAGTAAAAACAGATAAATTCCGGTCAATGCATTCTGTTTTAAACAGATACCTAAAAAAGAAAATAAGTTTATATAAAACATATCTGAAAGAAAATTTCTCAAATTCATATCAACAAAAATATTGTAATAAAAAATTACAAAATTAAAATATGGAATATTTAGTAGTAATATTCTAAAGAATAATAATAATAATAATAATTTACTTTAACTTTCAATCATATTTAGTATATCAATTTTTCACAAATACCATAAAAAAATGATTGCATAGTTATAGTTTTTATGTTTAATACCAGATTTTTTTTTCTTTTTCATATTGGTTCATTGAAATTACCTAATCAGTTTTTATCAAAGTTATTTTATTAACTTGGAAAGATTACAATATATTTAGCACACTAGTGGAACAATTGAAATAAAGGTGTGGGAGAATCAAGAATGAATAAATAAATAAATAGTTTATTTATTATACATCATTTCTAAGAGAAATAATTTGGTTTAACTGTCTGTTCAAATTTAATTTAGAGAAATAGCCAGAAAGTACTACTTTAATCATCAGCATTATTTTTGTTTATAAATGCTCAATTAATATTAACTTAATTACCTTTTACCATAATATCTTATATTCTATTAAAAACAGTTCGTAAGCTGATGTCATTTCTATAGAGTTTAAAAAGTTTTTGATAGAATAAATCAGTTTTTAATATCACAATAACTATCCAATGTATATAGACAATCCTTTGTTATCATAGTTTACATTTTTTCTTATAAATATAGAACCCAGATAGTAAAGAATAAAAACTATTAATTGTATTTTATTTATGTATTTACTGGAATACCACAAGGATTCCATCTCTCAATATATGTTTTTAATATTTTTAATAATGATATTAATTATGTTTTAAATTTTGCTAGAATATTCTATTAAGCAGATGAAAATTGATGCTTTAAAAATGAAATGGGATTAAATTTTTAAAAATGTAAATTTATAAATTTTTCATATTATTAAGAAAACCATAGTTTTCCATATTCTATTTCCAACTAAAAACTGTCTGCAGTTTCAAATATTAAAAATTTGGGTATTGCATTTGATTTAAAATTAGTCACTAATATTCATATTTAAATTATAATTTATAAAATGTGAAGGCAATTAAGTTGTATCTTTATATTGTGTACTACATAGATTATGCCAAGAAAAAATACTGACTCTTTAGTCTCTATACTAAATAGGTCAAATAAATAGCATAGGGAAAATTTAAAATAGATTTTGATAATTACAGTGTTTTTAGAAATCACATTTATCAAATGTACTACTTTTAAACTATTTAAACTTAGACTCATTAAAAATATTTAGTCAAAATTTTGATTTTATCATTTTATATAACTTATTAAATTATTTAATTTATAGCCCTGGATTACTAGGAATAATTAATTTTAAGATATATGTATACTTGTGATTTAAAAAATTATCTTGTTACATTTATGTTTAAATTTAACTAATCCAATAATGAAACTAGGTAATTTTTTTATATACAATATCTATTCATTTAAAATATTTATATTTATAAAAATAATGTGAATTTAGTAATTAAGTATTTATTTAGAAACATTTATAAAAGAAATTTGTACATAAATTGTTTGCAATTGGATTTTGAATAAATAAAAGTTGACAAAATATAAAAATAAAAACTGGAAAACCCTGTTGTGCTGTTTAGTAATTTTTGAGCGAACCAACTGATCATTGAGTAGGTCATTGTAATGAATACAAATGTCTAATTTGAATTCAATGGTAAATATTATGGTATATATAAGAAATAAAGATTAGAGAGGATGCGCATAATCACAAAAAACGGCAACATTTTAATTTGAGGGATAGAATTTTTAAAAAGAATTCAGAGAAATATATTTATTGTGAAATATATTTTAAAGTCATATATCTGATCAATTTTTTGTGAGAGTGAAGGGTTAGAAAATTTTTTATTAAATGCATTATATTTTTCTATTAATGTATAATATTAATTTAAATAGTTTATGATAAAATCATGATATATAATTAAATATTAACTAATATAACTATAATAAATTAATTTTAAATTTTAATAAAAAAAAAAATAGTGATAATGTATTCATAATATTTTCTAATTGATAAAAGATAAATATAAAAAAGAATTATTATACTTATTACATTTTCAAGCTAGAAATATTAAAATTAAAACAATGCATTTTAAATTTAGTGTATGATAATTTTCAAATTGTGATTCTGAAAAGTTTGTGTCAAAATTTTAACTTCAAACAACTATAAAACAAAACTGCACAAATGTAATTTTTTAAGCTTTTAATTTTTATAAGAAAAACTTACAAGGAATCTTGTATTAAATTTACAAACATAAGAAATGACAATTTTATTAATATAAATAAAAAAAAAGGTAGGCAATTGAGTGCTATTCTGCTGTACATTAAGTGGGTCACTATTATTAGCATGTTAAATTTCTAAATATTACTTAATATATTTCATATTTTTGATACACATAGCTATTAAAGTTATTAATTTTACTTTTAATATTATGGTAAATTGATATAATTTTTTTTTCGTAAATTTTACAATTATTATATTATTATTATGATAATATATGTTACCATATTATATTAACTAATACATTTAAAAATTTAAAAACATCTTTCTGTAAATGTCGTAAAACAGTAAAATAGCCTCATAGTAAAAATAGATAATATCTTATACTAAATTTAAAATGTTGTTCTATATAGTAAAATGTATTATAATATTATATGTCTAAAAGTTTTAAACTCTCACAAATAATGTTTTTAAATTATAACAAATCTATTAACATTATTATTTATTGCTTAAATAAGTATATTTGTTCAATTTTGAACTTAAAATGTTAATAAAATATAATTCTTTAAATATCATTTAGATTTTATTGTTCCAAAATGAATACTTAGGAGAAATCTTGTATTACATTTTCAAAACTTAGATAAAAAAGATAATTTTTTAAGTATTTCTAATTAAAAATAGATGGCAACATTTTGTGATTTTGACGAACTTTATAAAAAATTAAACTATAAATGCATAAAAAAAAAGTTATGTCAACATATTTTTAATATTTTTATATGTATTTAAAAACAGCTTATATGGGATCTTATATTAATTTTTTAAGAATTTTGAACTGGCAAATAACTTTTAATTGTTAATTATAAAAAAAAATAAATAAGTCATGCTTATAAAAAGTTCAAATTTTTTCAAACAATTGAAATAATAATATAAGCACTTGGTGTGAATTGCATGTTACTGTTACTTTTTTTTAAAAAACACAACAAGGTATCAATAATTGTTTAATCAGAAATAGCTGTGTTACAGATGAATTTCAATATCATAACATTTGAACAGTTATAAAAAATGAATTATTATTTTCCTGTAGAATCTTTTTTAAACATATGTTGTATATGTATAAAGAACATTGTATTATATTTTAAAATTTTTTGATAATTCATAAAATTTTTATCAGACTAATTTGAAAAATACTAGCACACTTTTAATTTTATCACTTTAAAGTTCAAACTAGATCCAATTTTCAGTTAAAAACCAGCTTTAAATTCAATGACTGAAGTATTTTATCAACTATTTATCGTTGAGATAATAAAAAATACACATTATTGCAAAATCAACACATTCATCACCATATTCAGAATTTAAAATATTGCTCTGATAAAGACTATGTCTAATTGTTTTTTTTAAGCTTATATAGAAATAATTTTCCAAAACTATAATTTTAATAATGATATATAGTCGAACATTAATTATTATTTTTAAAGTTGAATTTTAAATTTTTCTTGAGTATTTGTAGGTTTAGTTTTTAACATTATAAGGTTAAGGACAATCAGTTAATATGTACATAGTTAAATAATGTGATACTTTGAAAAGATAACTGAGAACACATTCAATTGGTTTGAAGTTCTATCTTCTAAGACTTAACAATCTACTTTCAAGATTTAAAAACAATTTTTTTCAGAATCTTAAAAATTTTCCTATATGTTTTAATTAATTATTTAAAATTATTGAGTGTTTTTAACAATAAAGACAAACTGTATATAATTTTTAAATTTATCTAAATATTTGAAAATTTCATTGTGCATAGAAAATAATAAAAAATGTAATAATAAAAAGTTTCAAGTTTTTATAACTAGTATGTTTTCATAAATATATTACATCTTAAATGTATTCATATAATTAAAATATTGAGTTAAAAAAATAGCAAAACAGAAAAACAATATAACACTATCAGTATTAAAACAATAACCATAAATATTAATAACTACAGAAAAAAAAATTATCATAAAATAAATATATAATGTTTAATATTTTATAGTAGGTATATATAAACAATTTGGTTAATCATATTTTATTAATTTCAAGTACTATATTATATTTAAACTGATTATTATCCACACTTTAGTAGTTGTAATATAGTTGCACAATTTCAAAAAATAACAATTTAAGGATTTTTATAATAATTACATTCTTAAATATATAAAATAGTTATTATAAGTTTCTTAGAATTTTAATAAGTTTATTGAGTCAACATTTCATTTTTCTGATATCTTTATAATAAATATTATCATATACTTTATAAATTAAATTAATTTGGGTTCCAATTTGTTATTATTTACTAAGGAAATTAAAGTAAAGTAAAAACAATTTGTAAACTTTTTAAGTATACCAAAAAAATGTAAAGTATTGAATAAAAGTATTAGTCATTACTCATTAATAATGTGTATATTACATACAAATGTAATAGTTATATCATATTATGAACATTATATATATATATAAATCCACTGGCTAATTTTTAATTTTTTACTGAAATATTTCTAACTCAAGTTTAAAGTTAATAAATCATAGTTAATCAAATGACTCATTATTTCAAAAATAAATTAAAATAGATCAAATAAATTATAGTTCTGATAGCTGAAGGACAAAAGGCTACTAATATATTATTCATAATTAATGTAGTGTAAAATAAGTAAGTATACCAGAGAACATTTAATTAAACCTATTAATATTCTAAAAAATTAAACACTACTATTTAAATTTAGCTAAATAAAATTTATAGTTAAAGTAAAAATAACTTATTCATTGATATAAATTTAATACTAATCAAAAATATTGTATATATAGATTTTAAACGTTTATTGACAAAGATAAGATTAAGCTAGAATTTTTTCATTACATACAAAATGTGGTATATATTGTTTTTAATGTTTTATTAGGTGCTATTAATTTTTTTGTGGTTTAAATTACCATCAATGACATATTATAAATCATGTTATTTTGTAATTTTATAAAATTAATACCTAATAACTATCCAAGTATGTTTATAAGTATTGTCATAGAGAGGTTGGATCATAACTAGAAATACAAAATACAGAATACTTGTCAAATAAATAATAATTATATATTTATCTATTGGATATAATGAATGATATATTGAAATATGGTGATTATTACAACAATTATAACATTCAGATTCTTATTAATATGTTGATGTTTAAATACTTTAAATTAAGTACCATCATTTAAAATTATTGATTATATTATCCTATTATTACATGAAAATATTAGTAATATGTAATATCTATTCAATAAGGTACCTATTTTAATATGATCATGGTTAATAAAATATTAAAATGAACCAAATTATACATTTAATTAAATAAATATTTGTAACAATAAGAAAGTAAAATAAAAAACTAATGGGTTAGAGATCACATATTTATGATTTTACAAATTTTTTTTAAATGCTTATATTTAAATATATAGAAGTAAGATATAATTATGATTCATGAAACACAGAATTCATAAAAATAATTTTATTTTGTATAAAAAAGCATGATGTAGAGGATAGAAAATATTCAATATTTCATAGAATTTCATAGAATATTTGAAAATAAAAAACAATATTTTTATTATTATAAATATCTTTTTGAAAAAAAATAATTACTTAATAATTATATTACCTACATACTATTTTGTATGTACTATTTATGCAAGAATTGAATGTTATTGTAAAAAAAAAAAAATAAATAAATTAATAATAAATATATTAAAATTGTTATGAAACTCATTAATTAAATTAATTTAAACTGAAAAAATTTAATAATTTATTTTTATTTTTACAGAATATTAATAAAATATTTTACATTTTGAAGGACATAAAATATCATGTATCATGTATCTGATGTTTAAAAATAATATTAAGAGAATATATTGTCTATTTTTAATGACATGAAATTGATAAAAATATCATACTTTAAAGGTTTTAAAAGAACACAAATCCTACCTCTACTGATGATTAAGGATTACTTCTTAACTACTAATATAAAACAAATTTGAACCAAATATATTTTGTAAATAATATTAGGTATCTGATATAGATTGTTGAAAAAAAATAATTCTCATAAAATAAATAATATAGAATTAGTTGTTAGACTGCATTGGATTTATACAGTAAATCCTATCTATTAAGGACACTCAAGGCACTATTAATAGTATTTTTTATGAATAATTTTAATTGTAAAATTTATGAGCACATTTGTAATGAAAATATAGAATTGAAATGTATAAGAATTACATATAATATGTACATCTACACGATTACACAATTAAAAAGAAAAAAACTTAATATTTTTAAAAAGAACGCCCTATGTACCTAATTATAAGTGCTTGTACGTATGTGATGTTTGTTTATGGTTAAAATAAAATAGATTGAACATAATATATTATCCGTAGGCGTAATTGTATGTACTAATTAATTTTAGACTTAAATGCTTATAATTGAGTTTAAACTGATATTGATTGTTAACATGTCATTGGATAAAAATATTACTGTCCAAATTTGTAATAGAGAAAGTCCATGAACAGGTTTAAATAATTTTGCAAAGACCTTAACATTTATTCTATTAAAATAGGTGAAAAATAAGACAGTTTTCACTGTATTATTAAATAATTTTGAATTTATGAGATTAAAGAGACCATGTTCTAATATGAGGCGATTCTAATTATAAATCTTATTTCTAGAAGAAATAATTGGTTTCTTTTTATTCAAAAATAGGTAATCTCTAAAAAAATTATTTATCTTGATTCTTTAACCATTGGTAAATAAATGTATATTAACTAAGCTATATGCATACTTATATGGTTACTAATACTATTACATATTATTCTATGGTATTATGTACATAATACTTATAAACAAAGAATAAAATATGTTAGTTTATTAATCTTGTCTTTAAGTTGTTTTACAAATACCACGCCATACCTAATTATATCAAAAATAATTGAGTATTTACAGTATAATTGTAATAAAAAATATTTATTACAAAAACTAATACACAACAATTTAATTTTTATTACATTTAATAAAAGTCTAAAGGCAAAAATTTAAAACTAAATGATTCATAAGTATAATTTTAACTGAATATAATATTACTTACATATTAGTAAACTCAATGGCAGTATTATATGAAAGAGCAGTAAAGATATGATAAATTTCTTCATCGTTCCTGTAAAATCATAAATTTCAAAGACATGTAAGGATAGTTGAACACTCAGAAGACAAAAAAAAACTAAAAATATATTGAAATATTAATGCTATGCTGAATAGTTATCTTTTTGGAATCCAGCCAAATGCTATAAATTAATGATGAAATAAATGTAATCTTCGAAATAATTTACATTGAAAAAGTTGTTCAATGATTGTCTGCAGGCTGTGTAAAATGTAAAACTAATACACACAATAAAGGTATGAGTACATTTTTATTGTGCTTTTATCATTTTTTTTAGTATTAATGATATAATAAAACAATTACCAAACAACTTATTTACCTATCGAAAATAAATCAAAACACGACATTTCACTTGTTATGCAATTTATATTTACATACCTGCTGGTGTTAAAATAATTTTTAGTGATTGAACGTGTTAATTCAAATAATATATTATATCCAAACGTCCACCATCGTCCATTGTAAGTTTAATTACCATAAAAGCTAACGGAGCAAAATATAAGACTAAAGTATGGATTTTTAATTATATAAAGTTCAAACCGCAGTCAGGGAACTCGTTTGTTATCAACGTTATTATTGACGTTTTGGACAGACGTGCCCAAAGTGCTGTTTGCCCGGCTACTAAAAACGTGCAACGCCCGTGATTAATGTTTCGTAACTGAAAACAAACACTAGGGATATCATTTTTTTTTTACGGATTTCGTTCTGAAATTCGTATGGATAGAAATGGTTTGCAAAAATAACAAATTTATACAGTTCGTGTAAAAATTTGATTTTAAAATCAAATTACTACTTAGAATTTTGTAAATCACAATATTGATAATTTGTTATCACGAGTCACGACCAGTCTGTAATTGATAATGTCACAATAATAATAATAATAATAATATTATTTATTATGTAATTTTTCTCTTCATACTAACTGTTAAGCTGTATGCCTTATAGTGATAATAATATGTATAATGTGTGATACACGATTAAAATTTAAAACGTTCATGACGGTACACGTAAACCACCATAGTTAATATTATAGTATCGCGAAGATGAATCCGTTCGAAGGCTTGGAGATCTCCGACGACTGGCAAGCATTGTTCAACATAAACGAACGGCAACCGTGCCGCAAGTGCTCGAAGTCCAGGAAATATTTTTGTTACACATGTTACACTTTAAATGCTGATGTAGAAAATATTAAAATCCCAATGCTTGAGGTAGCTCAGGAGCATTACCGTAATTGTGCAAACGGTAAAATATTTATCGCCAAATTTATTTTTTATAGTTGCCGTTTAAAATCGACATCATAAAACACAGCCGAGAGATAGCAGGCAAAAGCACTGCGATACATGCTGCTCTTTTAGCGCCAAACGATGTCACTATTTATATTTATCCTGACATGCCCAGATACACTGAAGACGACAAGGTAATTTTCGTCAACATTTTAATCATAGTATAATTTATCACAATATTTATACAATGTTTTATCATCTGGTATCTATGTATGATATGTAAACTAAAAACATTAATCATATCTAATTTTATTGTCTTGCGACAATATCAATTTACAATTTTTAATGTGTTTAATGACTTATTCGTTCATTATTATGGTACTTATTCGATCAATATTAATAACTTAGATATATAAATTATGTTCTACTTAATATCTCTGTTGAAGAACAGACTTTCAGAGTGTTCATTTTTTAAATTGGTTTAATTTTCATGTATAGTAACTTACCCATTGTCATTGTTTTATGATAATAATTGTCAATGCATAACAATGCACAAATATCTACTACCTACCTACCAATGTGCATTTGATTTTACTGATTTAAATTTCTTTAAAAATGAATATTAACAAATTACTTGAACTATTCTAAATACAGTGAAACTTTTAAGTACCAGACACTCTTGGTCATCAAAATTTTTTCCACTATTTAGAAGGGAAAAATTCAATAAAAAATAAAATAATATATTGAACAAATGATATAACGTGTAGAATGCTCATTGTAATAAAATATAATTAGATAATAATTACTCTAAAAATCATTTAGAGTGTTCTATGTTTAGAGTTTTTCCTATAGATAAGTAATGAAAATATTTCTGTTCCCGTAAAAGTATCTTCTAAGGAAGATTTTAATGTTCTCACAAAAACATGTGTATAAAACATTTTAATATTTTAATAATCCTGTCATTTTTTTTCTTATTATTATTTCAGGTAATCCTTGTTTATCCAGGAAAATCTGCTGTGACCTTACAAGACTTCTATTCTTCCAAAAAAAAGTATTTAAATTATATATTTTTACATTGTTATACACTATTTGTTTTGAATTTTATGTTAACCATGTTTAATTGTAGAAGTTTAAATTATTTAATATCATTAAAATTAATAATCTTTTTAATTTTATACATTTTACTAATAGATAGAAAATTTATGATCAGCTTAGCTTTCGTGGTATTATCGTTAAACATAGTGTTGAAGTAATTCCATCACAGATATACTAGAAATTATTGCAAACATATAATTTAAACATGAAAATAAGATATTAAACAAAAACTAATGATTTAAACTAAAATCAAGTAAAAATATCTATATAAATTTTTTTAAAAATCTTTCTGATAACAAAATACAAATATATAGTATAATTTAATTTTTTAAAGTTTATGGCTAAAGCATAACACCTGTAAGGCATAACAATCAGCATACGAGCGTCAGTCTTCTGGAACATTCTTTATATTCTATCCAAATGTAAAAGGTGTTAAGTTTTTTTATTATTATTTAGACTTAATAATCTTCACACTATATACAATAAAAAAATAAATGGTACATATTTACACGATGAGAAATACCCATTAATAGCACTTCAGTGATTGGTTGTTAGTTTTTGGTTTATTAATTAATCTCTAAAATAACTTATTTTTAGTTGGATTATATAAGTAATTTTTTTAGACATAGATGAGATTCATGGAATTTTGTTACTTATTTATTTGTCTCGCCAATTATATATTATCAATTTATCAATGAGTGATGATTGTAATGAGCACCTTGATAACTATACTTATTATAATTCTAAGATGACTTATTAAGAAAGTAAAATAATTAATTAGATCTGTAATTTTGGAGAAGTTGTGTGGGTTAATTGTATGTTACATTTGCATGTCTTTACCTACTCTATAGTAAAATATGAGAACATTTAAATTGCAAAATATAATACATTACTAGTATCATTGTAAAATAATAAAAATAATGCTAATAATAATTCTCTTAGGTAATATTTTTAAATTAAATTAATTCTTTGATATAATATTTATTTGTACAGACAAGAAGATAGTGCAGAGTATAATAAAAACAAGACTGCTAGTAAATTAATTACACATGCATTATTTATTGATAGTACGTGGAATCAAAGTAATGGAATTCTGAAAGATCCAATTATATCAGGTTTGATACTTTCATTTTAGTTATTTAGTATTCTTATTATTATATAATACTATGAATACTTATTTATTATGTTTTTTATTTTTAGGACTTCCATGTATAAAGCTACAAATAAGATTATCTCAATTTTGGAGACATCAAAAAGGCAGCCCTAGGTGGTTCTTAGCCACTATTGAAGCTATTCATCAATTACTTGTTGAATTCACAGAAGCAGATGTCAAAACAAACGAGCCACTCAAAAATTATGATAATATGTTATTTTTCTTTAGATTTATGTATGAAAAAATTCACCAACTATATGAACATGATAAGCTTAAATCATACAGAAGACCAATGAATGTATGAAATTGTTATTATATGATAAAATTTATTTATTTGTTTGTAAAATAAATTTTTTTACCTATTTTAATATTGAAAAGGCGTTACTATAATTAGTGCTTTATTAACTAAATACCTATATCACATATTGTTAGATTCTTTCATCAGAATTTCCAAATTATAAGAAAAGTGGTATAGATATGTTTGGCACGACCACTCGACACTATTAGCCGTTGATGTATGAATGTTAATTTTAGCCAGACTACTTGTCCATAACTATTTTATTAATAGTTGGTGTGATATGATTCATTTTGAGACATGAGTTAAATACATAATTTGTTTAAATGAATAAACAAATTGCTTACAGCTTTCAATGATTCTTGTTGATATCTTAGTATTAAATTTATGTTTGTTCAACTAACAAAAGATAAGAACACATTTAATATTGTAATTAGAGGATTGATATTGCTAGATAATTTAAATGTTAATTATTATTTATTTATAAAGTTCTTTTACAAATTTAAAAAAATTAAACATTTTTGTGTAAAATTTATCATTTAAAACTAAGTTTTCTTTCAATTTTAATATTGTAAAATTTGTAAATCTTAGTTACAACTGAAAACTTTCAAAATTGTATTACTATTTTTATTTTTTTTGTTAATTGGATGTGCGTTAGAATTTTTTATTCATATAATGGTTGTTTTTTATACTTTTTTTTTAACACAATTTATTTTTAGTTCTGTATTATGAACTAAATTAATACTATCTAAGGACTTAAGATTTTGATATACAATACCTATGCTGTAACTAATAGCCCAATTATATTATGTGTATAAATAACAGAGGTTAAAAGTTAAAACGACAAAAAATTGACATAAAATGTTTCATTTTACATAATTTAGTTTAGGTAATCTTTTTTTCTTGGCTAATTTATATCAGGGACAGGTAATTGGCTGCCTGCAAGCCTTTTTTGTATGGCCCGTGCTCTATTTTCAAATCACATTATACCATTTTAAAGTTAAAAATTCTTCACATTATAAACAAAATAAATACTAATTATTTAATGTTAATATTTTGAATAACTTTTATTTTTGCTGCTCTGGCCTGCTAGATTATAATATTTTTTAAATTGGTTCTCTAGTAATTTTAAGCTGCCTATCTCTGATCTATATGATTCTTTATGATTATACTGAAGTGGGCTGATATCTCTTGGATTATGTAATATAATATATATATATATATATTAAATAAATAATTTAATCTTGTATAACTTATGTTTTACGATAAGAAAACTGAAGAGGATAATTTAGGTACCTATATATAATTTATAACAACTTATACATTTTCTGTAAATTTGTTAAATAATCAACAATTACCTATACAAGGCAATCAGTTTATTCATCAATCATGTTATTATTTTTTTAAACTATTACCATAAAATAATATATTCTAATATATTTTTACAATAGACACGTCTTGGAGTATATTGAAGAACGATAATGGTGTTGAAGGCTATGAAATGTTGTTATGAACATCATAATAAACATCGCAAATAGTGCATTGCGCGTGCTGAGGTCGAGTGAAATGCATTATTGAGGTCACTCATATGCAACAACACATTGCTTTGGCACATGTTTGCAATCAGGATCAAATTTGCATCCTGGAGATTGTTTTTACTAAAAACAAGTATCACAACAATTCTAAGAATAAATACAAAATGCGAGGTTATGGATTACAATAACAAGAAGCTTTTTCATATAAAAGGGAGCCCAGAGATCAGCAATATTACCATATAACATATAGCCATTAAGACTCAAGCACCTTCAATCACTCAGCCGCTATAGTACTAATTCTACATGTACTTTAGTTTTACTAAAAATATACTTATTTATAAAGTTTAAACTGTTGTATATATTCATTTAAAACACCTAAACTTGGTTGCTGGAAGTGCGCACGCAACAATGGATTAACAAGCTGATAGCTAATTTAGTAACAATAAACACTTTTGAGGTAGATATCTAGATATAGGAACCTAATATTTTATTATGTCAGAAACAACTATTTACTTAATTTGTTTTTTAGGGATCCCATGTAGATTTTTTCAGATAAAATGTTAAAAAAGGTTGTTAGACACAAGTAACAACCATAATCAATACTAACCAATCATGAACAATTTATAAAACATATTATAGTCAATATTAACTTACTATCGTAAACACTAGAAAAAGGACCTCGGACTTAGTCGGCCAGAGTGATGTAGTTTTTACGTGTAAACCATTGATGTATTTTCAAAAATAGGTAGGTATACAACTTTTAAAATAAAATTGTTTTTAAAAAATACCAACATAATAGGTACATTATACATTTTTTTTATATTATAGGTAGGTACTCGTATTTATAAATATTAAATAGGTACTTACACGTTAAATAGTCAATAATTAATAACTAATATAATAATAATGATTAATAATATATACCTATATAATATCTATATATTTATAGGTATTAACCAGTCGTGATAAGTGATAACACCTGAGCATTATTTATTATGTATATTTTATCCATATTTTGTAGGATCTATATAAAATTCGAAAAATTTTTTAAAAACAATCATATCTATCTCTTTGTTTAGAAGTCATGTATTTTTGGAAATAAGTACATCAATTCGATCGAAGATAATATTTTGGTGTTAAAAACATTTTATGGTAAGTAATTGTTTATAAATTTCACCATTTAGATAAAAATTATAAAAAAACCAATAGATAATAGATACATTTCTTCTACTCAACATATACAAATTACATCACTAGTCACTTTTTTAATACTGTTTTAACCACTTTTATATGCAATCCGGCGTCCTTTTTCTAGTATTCGTGGCTTCCTACTTTACCTATTATACCTATAACAGTGATTCCCAAACTTGTTGTTTTCATCGCTGTTCTTTATAATTAATTATTATCATTTAAAAGTAGCGAGGCATAGTTTTGATGAACATTTTGTTAGTACTTATTACTTAAACTAGTTATAAGTACTTACTTCTCGTCGATAGTCAATTGTTAATATTTTTAAGTGCCAGTAACACGAACGCAACACACCAAACCGATTATTAATGCTTTCAGTCTCGAATTTATTAAAAATTGACATTCAAAATATTTTAATGAATAATTAATATTCAATATTACATTTGGGAAAAAATAAGTATAGATAACCTGTCCAATGTCCGTTTTGATTCTATAGAAAAAAGGGGGATAGTATAGATATAATCTTTCTGTAATAGGTATACCTACAGTGGCACGTACATCTATTTTTTTTTTATAGTGTACTGCGAATATATTACGTCATTTAATAAGTAAACCGTTGTTATATAATATCATGTACCTACCAATGTGTTAAATTTTAATTTAGTAGTAAATGATTCAAATGATTGCGTAATAAAACAGATACCGAGTAAAGGCGGCCAGCCTACATAACTTTAAGTAAATATATTCTATGGTATATTTCTACTATTATATCAGAATAATTTATTTTACTAAAAGTAGGTAATCGTAATACGTTAGTTTGAATTCATTTTTTTAGAAAGTATTGTATTTGAAAATATAACACTATATCTGTACGTTAGTTGTTTCAAGTAGGTGCCCAATAATAATGTTCTTAATTTATAACAAAATAACTAAATTCGTATGATTATTATTATTTTTTTTAATCTTCGTTTAAGTATTTAATTTTGTTCAAATTTAAATTTTATGTTTTTTATGTTTATTGAAAAATATCAATGAAAGGTAAGGTTGGTTGGTAAGGTATCTACGAAAAATCTTGTATTAAATCTTTAAGTCTAAACTCTAAGGTATAAAAATTTAACATTTCATATATTTTTTACAATAAAATAACTTACCTACAGATTTTTGTGAATTTGACGAATTTGGTCAACATTTAAACTTCAAATGCTTAAAAAAAATCCCTATGTATTTTTATTATTTTTAAATGGCTATTAAAGTAACATTTATTTATTAAAAAAACTTAATCAAAATTTTAAATGTCTATAAATAGCTCAAAAAGAGATAAAATATTTTTTTAATTTTGATCACGTATTTAAAATGTTAATAAAATATAAGTTTGGTGAAAATTGCAAATATTAACAGTTATTAGTTTTTGTTTTTAATTAAAAAACAAAATCGAAAACTAGTTATATATTAAATTTTCCGGTTTAGATCTTAATTATTTTTGTTTTTTCCCCCCTTATTATTTTTAAAAATACTGAGAATTATACACTGCTAGGGGATACAACTTTATACGATATTTCAACGAATTTGACAAAAGGAAACAATCTTTCAACTGGGTCACGGGGAGCAACGAACAAATTGTATTTATATAATTTACCCATTGTACGAATAAATAATTGTTCTACTATAATTGTCCAAGCATTTTAAGTTTGATTTTTATCGTTAAAAAATTACATTATTTTGTAATTCAATATGATTATGTCTCTACAGGATTCCGAGAACATAAACATACGAAAAACTTTCTTCAAAATAATCATTATCAACAATATTGATTTGTTAAGCTGTGCCTATACTTGTATAGTAAAATGAGAATATTTTGTATTATTCTTTTATCGCAATTTCATTAATAACTTCTGAGTTCTGGTTATATATATATATACATACTTATGGAGAGATCATGCCCATGTAGGCAATAAAAACAATATATAAGTAATTTGTGTATATTATAATTTCATGAACATGAGTAGTAATTAGTAGAATTATCTTTTAAAATACTTTCTTATAGATGTCGATTGGTAACTAAATTTTTTTTATTTTTTATTGTTTATTATACTTCTGATAGGCGATTTCATACTAATACATGACTATACACAAGTACACACATTTAATCAAATTACTTAATAATAATAGATAACGAGATCCGTTTAAATTATTGTAGTTTACAGGAAAATAGCCAGAGTTGGGTGTTTTAAGTGTTAAAAGTTTAAAACACTACCTCCTCGACGATAAAAGTATATAATCCAAAAATATATTATATATTTGTATGCAGATATGTCAAAAGTCAAAAAGTGATTTAGGTTTTTACAAAATACCAACACCTATGTAATTAACAAACACTAATAGAAATGTTATCCATAAACGACGTTGTAACCCTATTATATAAGAATATTTGGAAAGAAAGAGTACTGATTAAATTATTATTATTATTATTATTATATTTTATATTATTAAGACATACAGTAATATGTTTTATTTAAAATTTAAAAATATATTTTTATAATTTATTAGTAAGACCGTATTATTCCATGATGAATGTGCGATACAGCTTCCTTCTCCAAGTTATATTTAAATATTAAATTAAAATAATCTCCTTCCATAAAAAATTCTTGGCCATGCGCCTGGTAGTTTACATTATAATATACTATATCACTATATCAGTATCATAAGTATCATAGGAG